TCCGTGACTAGACGAGAGCACCGTCCGCGACCCTTTAGTTCTCTCTGACACACGACCCTGCAGCTTCCCTTGGCAGGTGTCCTTCCCCACGCCCTAAGGCCTCTGGAACTTTTTGTATAGCTATGTAATGATTGTATCGGTTCAAACACCACCGTTGGATCATAAGGGTATCAACGAATCAGATTAGACCCGCACTTGTATATATAGGGGACCCTCCCCCTTCATTTGTATATGTTCATTTGCAAAAAATATAACTACGCTGATTTTTCTCCATTTTTGTGAATCGAGTGTGTGTGTGTGCAAGGCTGACTTGGGAGTGATCCTAAAGCCGCGCGGGTGTGGGATCATTGTAAATCGACCGACCCGTGACACATCCATAAGTTCTAAAGCTTCTTCCCGCATCTCAAAAGCAAAGAGAGTGCCCGAGAGAGGAAGCTAAAAATGGCAGACAGACGACTTCAAGAACTCACAGAAGAGCTAGATGAAGTGCTAACAGAAATAAGTGATCTCAGAAGACGGCTGGCCAATGCCAGAAGGGCTTTATTGCGTCATATTTGGGAAGGAAATGTCCCACGCACAGATGCAGAGAGAGTCAGAGCACAGTTCATCCAAAGCGACCTTGGTCGGGCTATAGAGATGCAGAACAGGCTGATAGTCGCAATGGCTCAGCTGATACGATAAGGATGAACTTTTTTCAAGCTTTTTTGTCTGAAGAAATGATGAAAGTCGTGAGATCCGTACACGCTAAATCTATTGGCTTTCTGGAGCCACCATAGAGCTGAGTTTAGCTTAGATTATGTCCCGAAAGGTTTTTCTCAAGAAGCCCGTTTGCGAGCAGGTGTTTCAATGAAGATCAGCTTGTAAAGTTAAAGTTATTTTTAAACCCATGCAACATGGTGCAGAAGCGGACAAGAGATTCTTCGTTTTGCAGGGTTCCATATCTAGCTTGCAAAAACGACTAATAAAGAGCTGATAAACCGATACGTCCTTCTTGCTAAAGATTTCTAGTCATTTCTGAATGATTGCGTTAGTTTCTACGTATCAGATTCAAGTGTCTATACTGTGGCTTCTGTTGCTTTAATCGTTTGCTCATGGAACCAAAGGACCTTTGACTAACCAATCTCTGGGGTGAAATAAAGTAAAGATTGGCAACAAATTGTTCACTGCAATTTATATATCAAGTAGGATTACTGAGATCGCTTTTCCTGGAAAATGGCAATTAGTACTCAGAATGTATTGACAGAAGTTGGAAACCGTAGTTTTCCATACAATCCGGGGGTTTTTCAAACTCTTAACATTTCAAAAAAGGTGCATGCTTTTTAGCTTTGCAACTGTTCCGCTCAGAGAAAAGCTTTAATGGTTGATCTTATATCTTATTTGCGCTGGCACATCTACTCTCGTGATGAGGTCCATGGATTGCGAAACCCATGAGCAGGTCTTGTCGTGGCTCGTAAGAACTCTGTCTTTGAACTTCAGCATTCCTTCCATTGAACTGAGCAGCTCTAGGGTTTTATCTCTTGAATTGAGTTTTGATGTAACTTTCTTCGGTAACCATTTCCCACTTAGTATGACCTTCTGTCAAGCTTTGGACTTGGAGAGGAGGAGTGATCCCTCCAAGCTTTCTCACTTATCCACAGAAACAGGAAAAACAACTAAATAAATGTGTATTATGTTAGATGAATGACATAGCTCTTCATGCCTTGCTTGGCATTCTCCTGGCATCAAATAAAACAATATGATAACATCAAATGAGATTGATAATCCTGTCAGAATTAAGAAAACCCTGAGACATGCCGAGAAGAAAGGGAGAGATTACTGAGATGATGGCATTTGTGCTGAATGCATAAAATAAATGTCTGAGTTAGGGTTTACTTCGAAATAAAGACACACTTCAATACAATGGAAGTGTCCTTTGAGTAGAGCCAATTGCATTTATATAGCTTTTTTTTCCGAACAAAAAAAAAACGTGTTTGGTTTCGCTTGAGGGACTAGCGGAGGTGAGAACATGAGCAAAAGGCATCGCACACAAAGATCAGCATAAAACGTTTCTCCTGATCTTCAGTATGATTTATCTGCTCCTTTCTTGTTCAGGCACTCTTCTTAAACGGACAGCCGCCGCTAACTTCATCAACAACCGACGAGGTATTTGGTCTTGTTACAATCTTCAAGCATGAGATGGTAAAAAGAAATCATGTGATGTGAACATATACAGATGATTGGTTGATGGCATGCTGATGTGGACATATCGGGCAGCATTATCTTTGCATGAGATATCTAGTTTGGGATTAAATCTTTCTGCATATACCCTTAATTGTTGCCTTCAATGGCCTCCAAATCAGAGGGAGGAGAGAAGTGAAAGACAGTAGCCCTTCGAGATCATAGAGAGACATTTAATTACCTTTACTAATTTTGTTCGTGATATAGTCACGTGGATTTGGGATCCTTTACAAACTCCAAATCCATTGGTTCAAGTTCATTTAGATTTCTTGATCACAATAAACCCCTTAGATAACTCAACTAGTGGTGATCATTAGAAGGACCCGAGAGACATCAGGCCTTAAGATCGAGCCTAAATTTTTGCTCAATCATCAATCATAAAAATTCATACGAATTTTCGCGCTGGTTTGGGTATTTTCATCAAATGCCCTTCCCTAAGCCCGCCCAAAAAATGACCTAGTCACCACGTTGCCTTAGCCACACACCCCCGTGCCTCCACCTCCAGCGACCCCCACAGTCAGTACGCCTCTCGTTTCGTACATAGGCATGTGAATGTTTGAGTCCGATCCTACATAATTCAGAACCGAGGTCATTGACCTCCATGAATATCTTAGAGACCTTCGGTGAGTGGTGGGAGTTGACCTTTGATGCTCGCCGACGAGGACAACGGTGATGGGGCATCGACCTCCGGTGGTTGCCGATGGAGACAACCTTAAATCTCTAGAAATAAAGGGCTACTTAAAATGACCCCCACGGTTGGGATAACATCGCTAACAGCATCCCCGGGCAGAGCTCAACATCTATCAGGGCACGCGAGTTTCGATATGGCGGTTGTTTCGCCGGAATTTCTCCCTCGACGAAATATCTTTCACCGAAAATAGTTCATCGGCTTCTAATGGAAAGAGGTTGGTTCTGTGGTGATCCTGGACAGGAAATATCCAAGTGAATACAGAAATCGAACACTTTACTCACAATGGAATTATACAAACACAAATCGTGCCGGAATTCAATCGATGGCAAGACTTGGAAAATACAATTGATTCAAACGAACCAAATGTTGTCGAGCCCTGGCAAAATTTAATTGACAGCAAAGCTTGACAACACAATGATACTACGCCAGAATTTTATCGACGACCCAGCATCGAACATGAAACACACGCCGGAATTAAATCGACAACGTCTAAAAGTTACGACTGTGAAAAGTAAATTGCAATATAGGAAAGTAAAGATAAAGACAAATTTGTTCAATTTGTGCGGAGATTTTCGGTTATATAATTTGTGGTATTTATAATGTTCCAAAAGTAACTGTTTCCCGACAGTTGCATTCTCTTGGAGCAGTTCCCTTCATTGATCTTCACGTTCCTTCATTTCCGAGCCACTTCTCGACAGTTCGCGACGGTTGAATTCTCTCAAGCGGTTCCCATCATTGACTTTCCACACCCTTTCCTTTCTGAGAATTCGATGCCCATGACCTACTTTTAAACCAATGCTTCAATTTCGTTGCACGATAACTACTCCACGATCTATCTTCGGCGACTGTTCAAACTTTCAAGCAGAAACCGTTCCATCCAAAAGTGTTAATTCGTTCCTCCTCGATTTCGACTACTTTGCCGGTTTCCAACTCTATGGTCATACTCTAATGTTATCAGCATTTGCTGGTGGCTTCTATCACCCTGATTAATTTGCCTCGACTAATAGCTATGCTTCCATGTCCATGTGCCTTCTAAAAACTTTGCTGATTTCCTGTCTCTCTTCAATCACCGCATATTGACAGCCGGATATGGATGTTTGCCGATATCAATGATGAGTTTCTACGGTTGTCGACAAGATACCGATCACCTCCGTCGATAAAAAATATCGCGTGTATGCTCACGTGTTTCTTACATGATTGTTTATGCTCGTGCCGAAAGCACGTGCATGTCCATGGCGACGCTCAACTATTTTTGTCGTAAACAGCGGTATTTGGGCAATACCTGTCTGTGTTGACACTTAGAAGGGGAAAGGAGAGATTGAATTTTAGTTGGAGCTTTTGGAGGATGAGATCGCACACACCACTGTTGAACATGTATATTATTACTTCAATCACTAAATAATAAACAAAAAGTATGTACAGAATATGCTTCTGTTATGGTCAATAAGAAAAGAAAATGCTAGAGAGGCTTTTGTGTCGTCCTGGCCCTACTGCCAAACGCTCCCACATCCCGCCATAATTTGCCCCAGGCCGGGTTGATGACGGTTAGCGACCTCCTCATCGAAACACAAACAGAAGGCAAGAACACCGCGTCCCCCGCAAGAACCTTAAACAAGCGCCTTTTCAAAAGGGAAAAAAAAAACATCAAAACTCCATTTTCAGAGCTCCAGAAATGGCGACTCCGCTCTCCGCCGTCGCCCTCGTGCTCATCTCTCTCCTCCCACAGAGAAGCCTCTCGATCTCGGGCTTTCGTGTCCACGTCCCTAACTCTCAATCTCATCTCCAACACCCTGATTTCCCCTCAAGTCCCCTCCCTCACCAACTTCTCTCCCTCTGATGACTCCTTTGCACGGTTCGGCCAGCCGCCACTCTCTCCTCCGACTCCACTTCCGGCCCCATGCGCTCTCTTTCTCTCTCTCTCGATACCTTGAGGTCGCTTCATCATGAGGCCACGATCTCCACCATTAACGCCAACCATTCTCTGTTGCTAAGCACCTCGCCGTCTTGATTATCAGGTTGAGATAAACGGCACCAAGATTGTTGGCTCGCCGGTGTTCAACGACGGGAACTTGGTGGTCTTCTTGGGATTGAGATGTTCTTCGATCCAGAGTTCCAAACTTTGGCCCCACTTCAGAGTCCAAGCCCTGGCCTTGAATGTGTAGCACCGAGATATGGCGGTTTCGAGGATCTTTCGGGTGGGAATATATTTGCCGAGGCTTGTGGGGCAATGAGATCAAAAGGGTACTCTGTGATGGCTTCTTTTCTTGGTTTGCAATTGATGAAACTGATGGGTGAAAATCAGATGCTGATGGTTTTCACTCTGTCAGACGAATCTGATGGTGAATCACACAGGGAGTTTCAGCGAGTACCCTTCGATCTTTCTGTGGCATGTCGTTCCATGCAAGCTCTCGGCCAGTGATCTACTGGACTTCAACAATGGGACATTGGTGCATACTCGTCTGGAAGGATTTGTTATCGAGATCACGAGAATTGGTGACGCTTTGATGCTTAACGGAGATCCAATGACTTTGCCGGACATTTACACGAGCGAGTGGCTCAGCGTCCATGTTGTTCTTGATGTCATCGCAGCAAGAGAAGGCAGACAGACTGGGATGGAAGCTTCATCTAAAAGTGGCAGAGTCTAGTAATGATTTCTAGAGGAATCTTTTGTTTCAATCCTCTTCTTTTCCTTTTGCTTCGGGAGATGAGTCTCTTTTATTGTGATCACACATCAGTTCATGCTTTTTCACTAGTCTGTCTGTTTAGCAGTCCTCAAAGCCTATACAGATAATAATAGCTCACACTGGCGATTTTCTTCATTGTCGGTCCATGATTGCTCTGGCTCCGTGGATTTCTGTCCGCATCTGATTCTGAACTAGAAAATGTTCAGTAGGCTGGGATGAATGGCTAGTCTGTGAGATTCAGACTTCTAGATTGAATCAAATATATTGGAGTGATCTTCATGTTTCTTGACTATATGTGAGATATGATGTCTGTGGTTTCACTTTCCTCCACATGGCCACCATCTTTTCATCTCGGAATGCCGTACTTTTACGTCCACTTCTTTGCAGTCATGGTAAAGCAGCAGTCTTTATTGGCAAGTTCAAGTTCAGTTGCATTTCTTTAAGACCGCAAGCGATACATCTTATTGTGGACAGATTACATCAGCACCTTCTAATGGAGGTTCTTCTGTGCTTCGTGAATTTGCATACTCATCAGAGCACCCGGGGTTTCTGAAACCCGATTCTACACCCAAAATCATCCTAGCCAGTGCATAGCAGCCCAGTGAGCAAAACCCGTTAAGAGTTTCGTCGTGTTTTCAGTCTGTGATCAGCATTCATTCTACCAAACTTATTCAACTTACTGAAACACAATCCCGACTCTGACAAGGTCTTTTTCTGCCATCCGTTTCTTGATGCTCACTTGTACTGTTGATTGACCGTCCATCGCTATTCGCTAGTCATTGTAATCCGGTTACCACCTGGGTTCTTCCTCTTCTTTTCTTCATCAGCTTTAGTTGCTCCTTTCTTGCTGTTACATGCTTCACTCGAAACTTGAAGTCTGAAGAATTCTTCTAGAGCTACTTTGAACTCTCTGCAAGGTCACTTTTTGGAAGATGTCCTCGCATCTTCCTTTTAAAAGATACCAGAATAAAGATGCTATTTTCGTAGTTACCATGTTCCTATCGTTCTCTTTCCAATTCTGAAATTTCAACCAATCAAGTCTTGGGTTGGGGCAAGAAGGACGAGGTGACGTTGTTTGACCAATGGTCGCAGTCAAATGTCTCACGTAAAGGTTGGTGATTGTAGCCACAGTTATCAAACATGTTTTCCTCAAGAGAAAGTTCATTTTCAGGGAACCAAATCGCATTTCAAAACTTTCTTGTCAACGGCATCAGAGCTGGAAGGGATACTCGCCAACACCACGAGAGCTTCTGCTTTTGAAAACTTGTAAGTTGATTTAGTAGGTCTGATTGTTCTTCACCCTTTGTAATTTCAAAGACACGTCAGAACTCTCGACTTAGGCATTTGAGCTGCATCGAGTCCTCTCTGTGTCATGCGAAGGAAAGGAATCCCAACAATCAGAGAAGAGTAACAAATTCAGAGACAGCCAAAGAAGATTGATGAAGACTCACCCTATAATAAGAGATCAAACGGCCCAGCACTCATTGGGTTGTCCAAAACTGAAATGACTGTCATTCAACCAAAAACATTCTTCAGCCGTTTTCCTTTCTGCATCTTTCCTTCCCTGTTTCACTCTCTTCCTCAAAGACCCGAAGAACTTGAACAAGGCAGATAAGGTTACAGACCAGGTTACAGAAGAACAGGACAGCTGAGTGGAGTAATTGCCGTTGTCTTGGCGACCTGATGAGTGAATAAAGGAACCAAAGTAGCAATAGAACTCCACAAGATGTCAAATCCCAGATTGCAAACCAGTTTTCATTAGACAATACCCTGCTGCAGCTAAGCTTCCTCATTATGCATATGCAAACAAGCATACGCAAAAAGAGCTGGTGAGAGGAGGATCGCTTTTGAATACCTGGCTCTAACAGGAAGCCTCGAATAAACGAAATATCTTCGAGTCCCCTTAAATGCCGACCAACAGTGGCACACAGCCACAACAGTTTTTAAGTCCACAATCGATTGAATCATACTTAAAAAGGGAGTACACCATTGCTTCCACAGATTAACGATTCAAGACTTTGAAAAATCAATTCCCACTGCTTGATTTCCACCATCATTTGAAAATGTCGAATTATGTAAGTAGCACATCGATTAGCAATCCAGAGAAGGAGCAAGATGACAGCGTTCTCAATTGCCTAAAACACTTCCTAAGAAAGCACATATTCCTCTCAACTGGTTGACAGTGCTCATGAAAAATTTGCTAACAGATCCACTTAATCACAGGTGACCTCAATAACAGGGCGATACCATAAACCAACAAGCACATGCGTATCATTATACAAGGAGTCCAAAGATTCTGAGCAAAGCTTGGATGCTAAAAAGCACACTGGTTCCCAAAATGCCCTGATTACACTTCAGATGGAGTAGGCTATTCACACAAGAATATATGCGAACCAAGAATATGTAGGGCTCATACATATAACGGGTCGATTCATTCCGACATAAACTCTCAACCATTAATAGACCGAAAAAACTATCAACTCAAACTAAAGGGACAAATTAGTCGAATAGGAGAAATATTGAAGAGATCCAGAAGAAGGAAATAAAGCAGAACTTATACTAGAAAGAGCATGTTTCTGGTATAAAGAAGACGACAGTAAAATTTGAGTGCACTCCTGCCACATACCGTTCTTCCTAACATCATATTGGAAGAAAAGACGGAAATTAAAGAAACATGCCCTCACCAATAACCACTGGGAATGGCTAGCAGCGGAAAAAAACACATGCAATCAGCACAATTTCAATTAGCTCGCATAAGCGAAAGATAACTAGTATCTCGACCTTTCGACATTGCCACCCCAGCGCAGACACTTGGCATCCCAATTGTTAGCAGGCAATCAGTAAAGACATTACTCTATAGTAACAACAAAGATGATAACACTACTACAATAATAGAAGGAAAACATGACAGAAAACAAACCCAGTAAGATAGGATTGAAACCCAAAATTTGTGCCTCTGTGTAAGGAGGAAACACAGACCCAAAGCTGAGGATCACTTCCAAATACCTGGCTCTAATATGCCTACTCTGTAAATGCAGAAGGATGCAGCAGGCAAGTGAATTGGGAGCAAGTATTGGAAAGGTTAAACGTCAGCTAAAAAAAATCTCTAGTCTAGATAATTACCCTTAACTCCCTTTAAATGCTAATGAGCAATAGAATATATAAACAGATCGGCAAAGTGGAGTATCTCAATGCACCAAAATGACATTTCAATCAATACATCATGTAGAGGTGGGAATTCACATCCTGTCATCATATTCATGTCAATTATTATATTGTAACATTGCTAAATTAAGTTCAAATTTGATTAGTATGAAGAAGACTTGATTTTCATAAGAACCTGTTCAAAACATATCAATAAATTCTTGTAATGTAATGTTCTCATCTTGTGTCAGAACTTGCCGCCCCCTCAAGGACATCCAAGGCTATTCACAAATCAATTCAAAGTGGTACTCCACCACCTTCAAAAATTTGAAATCACTTAGGGCATAAATTAACAATCAACAGAAGGAGAGACACAATGACCTACCGGATATGATGGCAAAATTCTCAGAGAATAGAGGGCAGAGCAGTATAACCTGTTTCAAACAAAAACTTTCCATAAAGAGTAGAGGACCTGCATTCCTCTCCACAGGATGAGAGAATTGAAAATGTTATATTGAATCTGCTCAACATGGACGTCCACTAAATCAAATATGACCTCGATAATAGAAGGCACAACGCCATAACCATAAGAACTAGGCTTACATGGCCCCGTATGCATACATATACATATTTGCAGTCTTGAAATGAACACAAAGATATCCGACAACCCTAAACAGCACACAGGTTTTGCAATATGCCAATTTATAACTTGGATGGACTATAGACCAAATACACATAAAAATCGGAAACATCCAAAAGAAAAATTTAATGCTCCCTTATTTTACACAGCCACAAGAGAACTAAAACCCTCCAATCAAACTAAAGGAACGATAAAGTTGAATGGAAAGAAACTGAAAAGATCTCAAGTAAATAAAGCAGAACTTGCATTTAAAAGAGCATGATTTTAGGTATACAGAAGCTTGTCAATCAGCTTTCCTAAGAAAGCCATGAATGTTCCAATGTCCCCCCAAAGTTTCTCTCCAGAAAACAGCAAAATTTGAGTGGACTCCTGCCACATACTGTTCTTCCTAACGTCCTATAGAAAAGACAGGGAAAAAGGAAAAATAAAAAAACTTGCCCTTCCCAATGATCGCCGGCCAAAACTTCCGGCCGGCTCGCCTCAACAATCCCGTAATTCAGGTTCTCAAACTAATAAATTTGTTAGGAATAGCCACTTCATCGCGGCGAACCAATCAAAACTACTTCACTATTTGTTCAGCACCTCAACCCCGTGCTTCCCCGCCACGATCACGGTGGTCGCCATGTCGAGAAACATCCCATGCTCGACGACACCGGCCAGCCGCAGTATGGCGTCGCTTGCCACCTTCAAGTCCCCAATGTCCTTCTTGAAGTACAAGTCCACAATGTAATTCCCGTTGTCGGTCACAAATGGCTTCCCAGTCTCCGGGAAAGTCCGCAGCTTGACGGCGCACCCCGCGTCCTCGAAGAGCCGCCGCAGCCTCTCGGCGGTGAACTTCCAGCAGAAGGGCACGACCTCGACCGGCATGGCGAGGCCGCTGCCGCCCAGATACTCGACGAGCTTGCTCTCGTCGACGATGACGACGAACTTCCGGCAAGCCCCCTCGACCATCTTCTCCCGGAGCAGCGACCCGCCCCGGCCCTTGACGAGGTTGAGGTCGGGGTCCACCTCGTCGGCGCCGTCGATGGCCAAGTCGAGGGAGGGGCACGAGTCGAGGTCGGAGAGTGGGATGCCCAGGGAGAGGGCCTGCTGGTGGGTCTGGGTGGAGGTGGGGACGCCGACGATGCCGGACAGCTCGCCGCGGCGGAGGAGGTCGGCGATGCGGTCGACGGCGTGGCGGGCGGTGGAGCCGGTGCCGAGGCCGACGACCATGCCGGACCGGACGTAGTCGACGGCCCTGTAGGCGGCGATCCGCTTGAGGTCGTCCTGGGTGAGGGCGACGGCGGGAGGCAACGAGGAAGAGGCAGAGGAAGAGGGAGGGGATTGAGGGGGACCCAACAAGCCAGACTCCATGGCAGGATTCTCGGAGCCGAGGAAATGGGGATAGGAGGGAATCGCCATGGTCCTCATGTTTTTTATATACCCAAAGAAAACGAACGGGAACGAGGGGTCAGAAGAATCAAGAAAATGCCCAGAAAGGAAGCAAGAAGCTGGATAAGGGGTGTGGGGAGGGGTCGGTCACAAGAGGGAGATGGGAGTGAATCCCATGGTGAATCGCAGGGGGAAAGCTCCGGGTAAAAAAGGAGAGATCTTTTTTGATGGGAAAGGAAGGAAATTTGGGTTGGGAATTTGGGGAGGAGGGAAGAAAGGGAAGTCGGGGGTCGGATTGTGTGGCGCTGGAGAGGAGAGAGGGCGAGGGCGAGGGCGAGGAGGCGATAGGGTTTCTTTGGGCGTTTTCGGTGGAGGAAGGGAGGGAGGGAGGGAGGGAGGAAGGGGATACGTTTGGATCTAGGGAGGGGGAAAAAGCTGAAAAAAGGCGGAATTTTTCAGAGTGGCTTCTGCAGAGGAAAAGCAAGAGACGCTGCTCCCTTTTATATTAAGAGGTGAGGGAGAGAGAGAGAGGGAGGTGTTTCCCGCGGTGGGCAGCGGCAGATTCCTCGAAAGAAGTGGAAGCCAAGCCAATCTCTCTCTCTCTCTATCTCTATCTCTGCCTTTCTTCGCCGGTGGCTATGGGTGGTGGGGCCTGCGCCGCGCGCGAGGAAGATGCCCTTCTTTTCCTTTTCCCTTTTCGTTAACGTAGGATTGCCCGGTGAAATCTTCTGATCTTGCAGTTCTGGATTTTTAAGATCGTTTTTGATTAGTCTCTCCGGCGAACGGACCTAGATTTTTTTTAGTTGTGTCGCCGGTTCTCCGAGCTGCTCGCTCGGCCTCGTAGCGGGAACGGGGGTGGCAACGGGCCCGCCCCGATCGCCGGCGGCGCGCGAGTAAAAGATGCGGTCTTGGATTGAATATTTCTCCTGTAGAGATAATCTATAGTTTGCCAACTCACACCGCTGTTCTTCTCTTGTGCGAAAAAGTTAGGCTCTGTGTGATCGCCGATACCGGGGGTTGACCCACCGTCCTCCTAGTCAATCAAAACATGATCCGTATTTTGCCAGATGAATAAGATGACAGTACCATGTAGATAAAAAGGAAACATCGATTCCTAATGCATACACACTCTCTCTCTCTCTCTCCCCCGACATCCCGACCCAAGCACGTCGCTGCCGTCACGTCTCCAACCATCACTACCACCGACGACTTTGCGAAGCCGGCGACGGTACCACCCCTCCTCCTCAAGATCGAATGTAAGGAATGTGTGGAGGGGACAAGACAGGGAAGCGATGGTGCAACCTACAAACAAAGAAGACGCCTTGCAACGAGTCTAGTGACGAGGGATGAGGATGCGACGACGTATGCGTGTCAGGGAGAGAGTGAGGGTTGGCAAGTATGTGTGCGATAAGATTTGGTGGGGTTGATTGAATGTATAGAAAATCGAAGTAAAATGTACGCTTGCCACGATCATGCGAAGGAAATAGCAAAAGAGGATCAAAGTAGAAGATTGCAGATCGCACATTCGCCAATGTCGGCAGGCTCGAACGATGTCCTAGTCCTAATAAGCTGGGTGCAATGGCATAATTAGAATTGACACTCAAATGTTAAGCATGTTCAGATAAAATTTTTGCCAAAACAGATACATTCTCAATAAAATTACTCATTTATGTACCAAAACACAAAATCACAAGGCCGCAAAGCTCGTCAGAATAGCGGTCTAACGTGTCAAGTTTGAGCCGTGCTCCTTATCCATCCATATTTACACATTTCTTGATTCCCCAATTCAATAATTTTCTTTGTACTTTTAATTTTCTGATGTAGTGTGATTACCAACGGAAGCTGATGCCTTCATTGCTCGAATACTGTTCCTCGTTTTACTAAACCTTTCTTCTTCTTATTAGCTCTAATCAGCCATTTTACCATCGAATGTCTTTTCTTCTTCCCAAAATGACACTGAGGTCTGAACCCACTGATGCTCTTACTGTCCCTCTCTCATTTATGTCATTTCTATGGTTTCTTTAGGAAACAAAACATTATTTTATGAGTTCTTAACTTATGAATTGATTTTGTAGGAGACGTGATACACCCCCAGAACATTCAAAAAATACCCTCTTTTTTGTTTTCTGGAAAGTTCAACCCTTGGTTATTATACTGTTGATAGACATGTCAATTTCCTAGACCCTCACGCCTATTCCGGTGTCAACTTTAAAGCGTGTTCAGAGCTCCATCGATGGTGGTCGTCTTCCATTTTTTAAACCCAAATGTAGAATTTCTCGGTGCGCCAAATTCTAAAGAAAATCATACGTTGGAATGCCCTTTTCGAGCAAAGCTTCGGTGCAGGTTCCATCCGAGAAAAAAAAGAATGGTCAGGACAGGAGGAGTCTCTCTCTCTCTCTCTCTCTGCTCGGAACCTGTCGTTGTCCCTTTCGAACTGGGGCCCGTGTAAACGGAATCCAAATCGATGCAAATCTCGATCTTCTTTAATAGGGCAAAAGGTGGGGAACAAGGCATGGAGAATGGCACTGATGACGATTCTCCGCATATGCTCTGCCTCGGCCCTCCCTCTGTTTTTTCCCACCTCCCGATCAACATCATTACATGCTGTTCTTTCGTAAAATTATGTGATTACAAAGCAGAATCCTGTGTCCGTAGACGTTATCTCGATGTGTGATGGAGACGTCAATGAACGAAGTGCGAAGAACAAAGATTGCGGGAAGATCTCTGCCCGTCCTGTTTGGCATCTTTTTCTTGGAAAAGTCAAATTTTGCTTGGCACCCTCGTACCAAAGAAGCAAAATGCCCCTACGATTGGACTGGATAGTGTCATCGTCTGCCTTGTCGTGATTGTCGTGGTTGTCGTGTTCGTGGGATTAGATAGCCACGGTCGTGACGCATACGCCAAACTCAACCGCGTTTAGAGCAAGGTCGTCCGAGCAAAAAGGTTTTTACCTAGGACCGAAGGAAAGCCTGCGTTTCTTGGTCTCGTGCTCAGTTTCAAAGATGACCTTGGATGCATTACTATCGAGTGACTTGACTAACCCAATCGAGGAAACATGTGAAATTTCCAATGGTTTTTGAGAAATAGTGCAGTCCGTGTCTTGAAAATTGAAACTTATTCCTCATGGAATATTGCCTAGCCGTGTGTTAAGGGCGCCCATTAGAAAGACCCAGATTGTAATTTCGAGTTAACAAACGAGGCACGATAAAGATAGAACAAGAACGAGGGTTGGAATGGGGTCGAGGGTAGAATGTGATTTTCTATCTCTAGCGAGATGCGAAAGACAAGCGAGGGCAGAAATTTTCTACTTGGCGCTTGTGGACATGCATGTCTTGTCATTCTCACTCCATGACATTGGTGATTTATATGAATCTACCTTTGGAGTACAAAAGAATATATCTCCATCTAAAAGTTCTTTGAAAATGTTCTAAGTGTTTGTGTGGTACGATGTTTCGTGTGGAAAGTGCGACGAAATACACTAGGATATAACATATTCCAAACGGTGGATCGATCCCTCAAGGAACCATAAAAACCCCAAATGATAATTCAAGGATGCAGATCATCTCATCAGTGTGTTTGATTCAGCATTTTGAAAGCCCATTAAAGAAATTTGGAGTGTTTGACACCCATTCCCAAGAGGCTTCACTCTAAATGCTAACATTGGAAAGGCTGAAAGCTCAAGATAAATGGGAACCTTTCTTGAGCTTTCAACATTTTTGAAATGCTAAAACAAGGGTCAAACGATTTTTTTTCTTCCAAAATTACCATCACCAATTCTTCAGTTTTTTTTTATTTTGCCTCTCATTACTACTGTTCATCTTCTTTGTGCGAGGGCGCTCGGCAAGGGTCGACAAAGCCAAATCTGACCGGCGAGGTTGCATGACCCATGCAATTGTTGCCGGAGGTCGCACAACCCTAGGCGGTCCTCACTCGGGTTGCATGATCCTTGCCTAGTTTGCGTGACCCTGGGAGTCGCTCAAGGTCGTGCAACCTCGGCCGACGGTTGCATAGCGCCAAATCTGGCTTATCGGCGGCTTGAGCCCTTTGCAAAATTTTTTTTACCAAACACAATTTGCATTTTCCCAGAGCTCTATAAACTAAAGGCCTTTGCATTTTCCCAAAACCAAGAATCATGGCCAATCCATCTAATAAGCAAAATAATCCACGTTTGATACATTAAAATTGATAGGTCCACGCAATGCTACTCTCATCTTTACCTTCTCCTACTTTCTACTTTAACTTCTAAACTTTTTTAAAAAAAATTTATATGCATTTTTTATGCATGTTTTTCTTCATTTTGTGCATTTATTTTAAAAACTATAAACTGGTAAGCACTTCACATTTAAAACCACAAGATACATTTACAATGTACCGCATGAGAATACAACTTGAGTCGACACAACTATATTCACACTCAATTTAACTTTTATCTAATGTGCATGTATAGTTAATTTCTTAACGTGAAATTAACAAAAGATTTAGGACTAAAATGATACGATGTAAGGTTTAAGATTGAATTAACCGTCGTAAAATAAGTTTAAGACTTTTTAGACAATTATCCCATAAAAACCCCACCGCTACAACAGAGAACAAGCAATTAAGCTTCACAAAAAGATCTTATGGCTTCGTTTACAAGCAAAATGGATCAACCGGAGCAACTTTTCCATCCTCCAATTTCAAGTTTCAACCTGAACATATGCACGTCGCGGGTTCTTCTCACGGTCCCAACGACCTAAACGCGATGAAATCACTTTCATCAGTGGCATAGATGAACAAAAAAAATCCAATACTAGTCTTGGATTGAATCACTTGAAGGAGGGGAAGAGAAGTGCTTTTCCAATTTTCTAACATGAGCGTTCTATTGGGCTTGAACTCCTGGGCTAGTTCAAACTGACTGGCAGACCCTCAGAAACCGAGATGACTAGTGCAGATTGGACAACTTCAGCACATGGACAGGCAACAAACTCAAAATATACATGTTGCCATGTGTTTCCAGAGCTACAGTATATTTCTCGATCCACTGAATACGCCAGAAAATGCAATCAATTTGACAATTGCATAGTCCTTTCCGTCCAACACGGAAAAGAAATATCTCACGGTAGACGTTACCTTCTACCGAAAGTTTCAAGATCAAGAACATATTCATACACAATTGGTGAGTCAAACTTTATGAAGTTAACAATTGCGAGATCAATTTACATACTGTCAAACAATGGCACATGGTACAGACAAAGGATTATTTATAAAGGTTCAATAAACTTCACCATCAGAAAGGTCCAAAAGAATTTCACCATCCAAAGTCCAAAATACATAGACCATCTTGCCGTTATTGCCTTTTCACCGGCTTTCTTTTTGAACAATAAAAAGGTTGTCGAATAGCTTAAAGTACATAAGGCTTAAGTAGAAGCAAGCTGAAGATCAACATCTGATCCTTCCTAAAGGATGTAAAGATGTAACATTTCACTGATCAAAATGATGTGAAAAAGAAAACGGAATCATCTCCACATTCAAATTTCACCCATGAGCAAAATCTACTGAAAGATTATATAAGATAACAACCTTACTTCATTAGAATGCTAATAAGAATATTGTCACCTGCATCATCACTTAACAGCATTAATTGAGCACAGACTACATATCTAATTACAAAATGTGACACAAATACTGATCATTAACCAGATGGACCTACGGTTGCCTGATTCATATGTATGAAAGAAGCCTAAAGTAGATGACAATATACAGAGAAAGGGAAAATAGAGCAAACACATGCTGCCAAAACAGAAGCGCTGAAGCCTCTTGAACTGCATAACCTCTCAAGCTGGCTATTGCTCCCAAAAGAATGGCACTTGGAGTCGTGTATTGCAACAAGAGAACGAACTTATACATTGCATCTCCATGGACAAGTAGATTTAGCTTATCAGCCAACGTCACAATACCTATCCCCATGACTGGAAGCACCAAGAGCCTCGCGACAGATATACCGATGGTAGTTCGGAGACCAAGAGTAGAATCATTTGGACCCTCCGCAAGCATACCACCCAGAATAAGCATCACTGATGGCACCATTGCCCCCGCTAAAATCTCTAAGCTGTCAGTGACAAAAGATAAAGGAGCATCGTATCCAAAGACAAAAGCTTTTATCTGAGGCACCGTCCCAACAATAATTGCCAATAGTGAAGCGATAGTTGGGGGTTGTAGTATGTGCTGTATTGGTGTCTGTTCTGCGACAATTCTGATCCTCCTGACCATTTTTGGCTCAACCAAACACCTGATTGACCTGGGACTACTATTACCACCAGTTTCGCCACTGAGATCAATATCAGAAAGAGTGCCCTGTGAGACACTAGATATGCTGTCGAAAATCCTAGCAATGAAGGGTGTCTTTGAATGCTCAGTTTCCTTATCCTCGATGCCCGGCCATTCAGCGTCCACGAGCAGAGGCCTGCTGGCGTCATTAACAGGTGGCTGTTCCTCAATCTCTGTCTCTTCCTCAACAATCTCATAGAACTCCATTGGAGGCTCCATCATGTGGTAAACAAGAGTATAAACAAGGATAACTGCAACCCACTGAGCAAATGAGACATAAGCTACCCCCCTTGAGTGGCAATGAGCTCCAAAAGGGTTGTCTTTAGTATGACAGACAGATCCAACCACAGCAAGAGGTAGATTTCCCGTATTCCCAAAAGCAGTCATGATTATGGTGAATCTATTGAGCTGTGGGGGAGGTCGACATATAATGACCACTATGTAACCCAGAATGCAACCAACAATGGTAGTCACCAACACATTAACAGGGATGAACCACCATTGCATAATATTCTCAAGTGTCATGCTTTCACCCAGTTCGGTGAAGATAAGGCATGGCAAGAAAAGAGCAAATACAAGTTTGCTGAGAAGCTTAAACGTTGCCCTTGGAATAATTTGCTTTTTTGGATGTGCAAGAATCAGTCCTATAACCGTGAGGGACAGAAGTTTCATTAAGGGGATTATTGCACTCAGCACATCTTGGCCGCCGGATTTCATACTGTCTTGGTATACTTCAGCCAGAACTCGAAACATCTTTTCTTTGAGCACCCTCCGGCCACCTCAAAATCAATGTTGCAGTATGGATGAATCACCAGAACTTCCCCCTGAAATGCATCAAAGAAGAGATTCGTTAAAAAAAGAATCAGAAAGTCTCTTGAAAGGAGCAGTTTCTAAGCTTTCGAAAGGATATTCAAACTCCAAAAAAGAAATCAATCAGACAACGGGAGGGTCAAGGATTACTCCAAATACAAAGGCAAATATACTGAAATGCAGCGCCTTTTGTAAAGCTAAAGAACCTTCTGCAGATCAAAAACAGAGGGGCTAAAGGAAAACCCGTTCACGTGTAAGATTAAAGATGTCATTGAATCAACACTAACTAATAACCACAGCTTGAATTGCAACAACAGACCACTATCGGATTCGGGGTGTATTACAATCTCACAAACGAATTGAAGCATAAATAAAAAATTACGTGGATGGTGTGACTTTGGGTAATTTTAAACTTAAGCGTATGAAATTCATACATCCCCTACAAAATCTTTCATTCTCGCCACACTGATAAAAGATTTTGCGTCCGACCACCGAACAATTAATAAATCCTGCGTAAGTAGCAAACAACAGAACGACCCAAATCGAGGGTACACAGGACAAAAGAACTTAGATATATCATTTTCCACTACTCGAGAAGTGCGAGCAGAATGTTGATTCTTGATCCGTTCGTATTCACAGAACGACCACGAGCTGCGTCCCAGTAATCAACCACGGTCGGATTCCAGAGAAACACGAATGGAAACAAGAGACCATCTTCCTCCCCGGACCGCGAATTGAAAAAAAGCGAGAACATTCAAACGAAATCGACCTGCTTGAGACGAAAGCTACCGCGATCGTAACCAAAGAACCGGAAAAGAAGCAGCTTGATCAGGCCCGCAACACACCATACACAACGCCATCCACAGAGAGGCAGAGAGAGAGAGAGAGAGAGAGAGAGCTCACAATACAGATCGAGAGAGGAAAACCCAGAGAAGCCCGCGAGCGGAATTCAGCTCTGCTCCGTCAAAGTTATCTTCTTTATCGCAAATTCGCCGAGAGGGAGAAGGCAGAAGAGATTCACGGGACTCTTGTTTCGAGGGGAGGAGAAGCAGAAGAAGAAGAGAGAAAAAAAAAAACCAACTTTATTTGATAGTGAGAGACAAAAATTGTAAATTTTTTTGTTTTGATTGATCCGAAACTTTGATCTTAGCCGATAAATAATTTCGCTTGTCGTTTTTCCAATGAATAGCTGAGGTACTAAGGAGGCTCTCGATAATTGTACCCTGGAATTTAATTTTTTTAAAAACAATAGAAATTATAAAAATATATTTTGGAGTAGAAAAATGTCAATTGGACAAGGAATTCGCGAGCTGGAGGATCCAACTATGAACCTGGGAGATACAGAAGCGAGAGCAGCGCACGTGCATAGGTTCTTGCTTCTATAATTCTTTATAGGGACAAGTCTTGCTATAAGTCACAAAGCATCATGAGAAGTGCGTTTGAGTCACAAAAACACTGAAAAGTTCGTTTAGTCACAAAAACATCGAAATGGTTCGTTTGAGTCACTAAAATTAACACCGTTAGATTTACGAACGGAAAATGCTGACGTGTCATTTTTAATTATTTTTCTTGAGACACGTGGCGCCACGTCAGCAAAAATAAAAATAAAAATAGAAAAAGCTGAAAAAAAACCAAAAAAAGGAAAAAAAAAAAAAAAAAAAAAGAACCCGGCGGTGGCCAAGCCCGGCGGCCGGGAAGGACTGGCGGAGGTCGCCTGGGCCTTCCCGAAGCCCGGCGACCCTCGCCGGCGAGGGCCGGCGACCCTCGCTCAGATCTGGGGCGAGGGTCGCGCCCTCCCCCAGATCGAGGGTCGCCGGCCCCGGGCGAGTCCCCGGCGAGGGCCGGCGACCCTCGCTCAGATCTGGGGCGAGGGTCGCGCCCTCCCCCAGATCGAGGCTCGCCGGCCCTCGCCGGGGACTCGCCCGGGGCCGGCGAGGGTCGCCGGGCCTCGAGAAGGCCCAGGCGACCTCCGCCGGTCCTTCCTGGCCACCGGCGGTTCTTTTTTTTTTTTCCTTTTTTTGGTTTTTTTTTTATTTTTTTTTTTTCAGTTTTTTCTATTTTTATTTTTATTTTTGCTGACGTGGCGCCACGTGTCTCAAGAAAAATAATTAAAAATGACACGTCGATGTCACGTCAACATTTTCCGTTAGTAAATCTAACGGTGTTAACTTTAGGACTCAAATGAACCATTTTGACAAGTTTTAGGACTCAAATGAACTTTTTGCAAGTTTTAGGACTCAAACGCACTTTTGTGACAAGTTTTAGGACTTATAGTGCACTTATCCCTTCTTTATACGATGCGTGTGCATTCATTTTAAAAATAGGGTTAATACCACGAAAAATCCTAAACTGGTACACTTGTGACACATTTACCCCAAACTATTTTTTTGACCATAAAAAACCCCAAACTGGTACACCTGTGACAATTTTACCCCAAACATACTCACAAAAAACCCTAATATGACTGTGACAATTTTACCCGAACTAATTTTTAATATTATTTTTTATTTTTTGAATATTTTCTTTTTCTTTTCTTTTCTTTTTTTTTCCTTCACCTTCAACCTCTGGCCGGTCGCCGGTCCGGCGACCGGCCAGAGGCGGAAGCCGGCGAGGGCGACCCTCATCGGTATCGGGCTAGGGTTGCCCTCGCTAGATCCGGCGAGGGCAGCCCTCGCCCGATACTGGCGAGGGTCGCCCTCGCCGGATCTGGCCAGGGCGACCCTCGCCTGAGTCGGGCGAGGGCCACCCTCGCCTGAGTCGGGCGAGGGCCGGCGACCGACCAGAGTTTGAAGATGAAAAAAAAAAAGAAAATAAAAGAATAAAAAATAAATAAAAATTCGAAAAAAAATAAAAAATAATATGAAAATTTTAATTCAGGGTAAAATTGTCACGTATGTATCAGTTTGGGGTTTTTGTGGTAAGTTGAGGGTAAAATTGTCACAGGTGTACCAGTTTGGGATTTTTGGTGGTAAAAAAAATAGTTCTGGGTAAAATTGTTACAGGTGTACCAGTTTGGGGTTTTTTATGATCAAAAAAATAGTTTGGGGTAAATGTGTCACAAGTGTACCAGTTTAGGGTTTTTCGTGGTATTAACCCTTAAAAATAACCATATTGCGAGTTACAATTAATATAATTTAAGATTTTAATAGAAGCAAAGGGTGACGTGTGCCGCGGCACTAAATAGAGTTTTAATTATTTTTAACCTGTAAGTACTGCATTTTACATTCTGAAATGTAAAGCGTGTGGTTAATGTTGTGCAGCATAATCACGTGTTTAGGGCATTAGTTTTTTTTTTTTTTACCCCTCCCCTTTGAAGTCTACAAATTTTTTTTTTAAATTGTTTCAGCTTACTCTCCAAAACTTCAAACCAACACAAGAAAATGTGTTATTGTCATCATTGTAAGTAGGCCCGTCAAATGGGCAGACCGAATTAGATCAAGTTTTGGCAGGTTGAAAAAGGTCCAATCCAAATTAGGCAACTTTACCCATTTTTATGCAGTATAATTTTAAAGACTTGCACCTGATTTAGACCTAAACCGTCCCAACCTAACTCGGGCTCTAATTTATAGCAATTTTCTCCTTAAATTGTAGCATTTGGAAAATGGGCGACTCTATCGACTAGTTTGCCGAGTCAATAAGAGAACTCGAGTGCTTGGGGTGGGCCTGTTGACGAATACTTCACGTGGCATATGAGCAACGTGGAGCTATGGGTAGGCGCTGTGATGATGGACAAGGATACCTATGCGGATGGGTTCGGATGTTGGGTTATGGATAGGGTTGGGTTCGGGTTAGAAATCTTCATATTATCTTGGTGCAAAAAATTTGATCTAATTTAGTAGAAAAGAACATGTTTCAAAGGTATATATATATATATGATATAAACTTCTACTCAAATAAACACTGGAGATCTTAATATTCTTAAAGATTTAAAAATACTCAGACTTTTAAAGATTTGTAATGTTAAGAAAGAAAATAGGGAAATGTACCGAATACCAACTATATAAGTTGAAAACGGCAAATCAAAACGAAACAAGAAAGTTGGAAAAAGGAAGAAGTTTCATAGTTGCAGATGTTCTTGAGGGTGGCAGCTTAGCTCTAGAAACTAGGGGCAAGCATGGGATTTAGGATATAATAGGGAATTGGGAACCGGACCGAACCGATCATAGGATTCGATCCATTTTTAGGTTCCCGTGGTTACCGTTTCCAACAAAAAGTAGGGCCAAAACTGTGCGATTTGATTCCTAATTCCTAGGTAAGAACCAAGCCAAAAATTGGGAACCGATGAAACGCAATTACATTGTTTGAACTTTTTATTATTTATTTTATTTTGCATGTTCATGATTGTTGCTATTGACAAGTGGGGTTTTTTTGTTGTTGTGTTCACTTTGATTTTGCTCAACTAAAAATAAAAAAAAAATAAGGAAGAAACACATGAAATGAAAAAAAAAGAAATTGACCGGTTCCCAAGTAGACCTCGAAACCAATTGACAGGATACGTTTCAGGTCACAGGGCCCTAAGATTGGGTTTCAAGTATTATATGATCGCATACATACACGAGGACTAAAAGTGGGGACGAAATCAAGCATCACGAAAAAGAATGGAAAGCCCATCATCATCTTTTGCAAATTCGAACCAAATTTGATTGACTAAAAACTCATCGACGCACCGCAACTTAGCAAGACCACAATGATAGGGAGTCCGACTTTGCATTGACCGAAGCAGCAAACCAACTCCTCGGTAATGCGATGCGAGCGTGTAATTCTTCAAGCACTTGGGGGGCAATCATCCTCCGCGATGGATCCGGACCATTCTTGTCAAAGATTTGATTTTTATTCGAAACTCTGATCGGGACAAGCTTTGGGATCCATCGCCGACATCATCAAGTCAAGAACACGAACATGGCCGAGAAAGAAAGCCCACGGACATGGATGGTCGTTCGCGTAGGCGAACGATCCCTTCGAGTAAATTTATTCGCTTTCCATCGTTCTCCACACCTTCTTTCCCCCCACTTGAGAAACCCTTTTGTCCTCTCTCGCTCTCGTTTCTTGTTTCTTCCTCCTCCTCCTCTCCTTCTTCTTCCGCCTCCCACTACTGGCAAGTGCGGCCGAGGGCATCCAGTGCCTGGCCAACTCGCCTTCCGACATGTGGGCAGGAGGTGGTGGGTCCCGCCCGGGTCGTCTCGGATTCCCATCACCAGCTTGATTGAACCGGACGGAGGAGGGGCGAGCAGTGCTGCGACGACGCCGTCGTCGTCTGGATCTTCGCCCGCCGACGCGGAAGAGCGAGAAGGAAGAAGATGGCCAAGGACAGGGACGAGCCTAGGACGGCTCCGCAGCCCGATCGCTGGTACAATCTGACCCTCGGTCCCTCGTTCAAGCACGATTCTTCCAACAAGTACTGTACCCTCCGATGTAAGTGTTTTGGACTTAACCCATTTCGTCACGTGGCCTGTCTTGTTTGCCTGAGATGATCGTGGGGTGTTGGCATTGTTGTGATTGGTTGAAGAGATGATCGGTGTGCCCGGAAATTCGAAGGATCAGAGATTGGTGGAGGAGATGGAGAAGAGATGATTGCTCTGTACTCGTAATGAAGCTTGGGGACGTTGTTTCTTGAATTCTAAATGGCTGGATTGATTCTTTTTTTTTTATGTATGTTGGTTTGAAAAAGGTGTTCTTTTAAATGCATTTAGTACTTTTTTCCACCTTATATAAAACATTCAAAGCGATTGTGAATTCCCCTTTTTCATACTTGTCTGATTTGTTCTTGTCAAGAATCGTTGGATAGCAGGAAATAGGAAGTTGACGTAGTGTGTGAAGCTCTGAATTAATACGTGTATGTGATAAGTTGTAGTGATGCAATGTATTCGTTGCTAGTACCTTACCTCTTTCTTGAACTTTTGTTCGATATGCATTTCTCCAGATGAATTTAAACCCGCTTCTATCGATAAGACGAAGCTGGGTACGCTGCAAAAGAATAAGGAGAATCGGGTTTCTGTGGAGTTTCAAAATAATCAACTAGGAAAGCCCAAAGTGGCATTTGAGGGCAGCAGCGAAGATTACAAGGAGAACGATGCTGTGTTGTTCTTCGATGGTGAGACATTCCGATTGGAACGACTCCATCGAGCTGTGAAGCAGCTGCGTCACGTTCGCCTTCCTGGTGAATCTGCGGCGGCTGCTTCTTCTGCCGCTTCTGCAGCCGTTCATTCTGTGCCAGCAGTAGAGCCTCGGTTATCTCCGGTGGCGAAGGTTGGAAAACCATTGCATTCGTCTCGGAATACAATTCCAGCTGTTCCGGTGAGTCCAATTGCTAAGCTAAGTTAGTCAGTCACTAATTATTTGGCTTGTTCAAAAGAGTGATCTATCTCCTAAAACATATGGAATGGGGATTAGAGATAAGTAAACTGTTGTTTTTTTTTTTGGTAAGGAGATAAGTAAACTGTTGTTTGTCTTTGCTGATTCTAATTATTCTGTATAATAATCAAAATCATTATGCTTAGGGAGAGATTGATCCATTATGATTATGTTGTGTAATTACAAGGACCGGTAGTTAACAAAGGATAGATGAAGAGACTCCAGGGGTCCCAAGTTTTCTTTATAACAGGAATGCTGTACATCTTGGTGTCTATGATTCATTGAATAGGTATATTGCTGTACGAACCCTTTATCTCGTTGAACCTACTCAAGTAGGCCTCCCACGTGAATGAAGTTTTGTGAAAGCTTGACTGCTTATGATGGATTGGATGCATTTGTGTGCTAGTATTCAATTTCTTATTGTTATCCTCTGCTTTTCAGTTTTTGTTCCTTCCAGTACTCCATGTCTGATCCTTTAATTGTCATTCTCTTGTTGGCTATTTGACTTCGTCTGACTGAATGAGATGCTAGATTGATGTGATGTCTCACTTTGCCCTCGAGCACTTGTATTTCTTTGTTCTGACAGAAAGTGAAGTGGCCCTAGAGTTGCACATCATATGACATTATAAGCACAGTTGGAAAATCATATGTGATCAACAGTGTATCATCTTCTACCTTTCTGGGTGAATTGTTAGCTTTGGAAATGAAGTCCAGTCATAATAGTCTGATTTCTTTAGTACAGACTTCATATTGTAGGTCATGCTTTTCTCACATATTGTCTCTAGTAGTATTGACTTTTATGGTTTGGAAACTAAGATATTATCATGATCTTAAGTAGGTTATGGTCAATGAGGATTTGCGTTCTTTCTGCATGTGAAGTTTAAATAGCTCGCCAGGTGGCATTTTTGGTTCATGGGTCAGGGCCAAAATCTTGGATAGAATCCAGGAGAAAGCCTAAAAAGAAAAACAGCATTAATTGTATATTTGTTTGTGAGATAAATCAAGTAGGCTCTATTACTTTCGAAATAAAATCTAGTTTGAAAGTTCTTATTAATTCAAGAAACTTTTATGCTTAGTTATGATACTTATCTGCTAAAGATTTAGACTCCCTTCTCTGAAGGTTTGTCGTCTCTATCTTATATAACTATATGTATTGCCGATCCTACTTGATTTCCTAGATTTGATCTTAACAAAGTGTGTTGAAATGATCTTTTCATAATTTTTCCCTCCATCAGTTTTATTGAGATTCGGTTACCTTTATGTTGAATAGATGTTTAGAATAACTTATCAAAACATTTATGCATTTAAGATCTGCTCATTGGATAGGGATAGTAAATCTTTCTTTAGTTATAGTGACGGATTGAGACGGATTGAGAGGCTCGAGAGGCTCGATATAAGAAATAGGCAAATTCAACGATCATTAATCTTTTAAGCTCAGATATATGGTGCTGCTTTTTCATTGATTCAATCTAGCACTTGATCATGTAGGCTATAAATCAATCATGAGTAGGATCTCCATTTTAGTAGTGTCAGTCTCTCCAAAAAATCCTGAAAGGAAAAAGTTCTAGGCCTTATCAATAGTAGAAAGTTCTAATTGTTAACTTGAGTTGGCTTGCATTGTGTGTCTATGGGTTTATACTTTTGATTCTGGCAGTGTAAAATCTGACAGTGGAGTGTGTACTAAGTTGTTAATTATATAGGGCATGTGGTAATTTCATGAATATAAAGGAAATGGGGGAAAACAGGCACAAGTTGTGTACCCTGAGTTTCAGAAGTACTATTAGCTTGGGCTTGATATCTAGTACTTCACATGGAGAAGAAGTTGACAGTACCTTGATAAAGAGCAAAACTTGAATGATGTTGGTCTGAAATGGATACGGGATCTTTGGTAGAACTGAGTGGTTGGATGTGAGGATCATCTTTAGAATATAACCAACATTGCCTGACTAAGTTGAAAACCTTCAACTTAGTTTCTCAGACGACAAGTATAGCAATATTGGTGAAACGCTTTTTAGTATTTCATACGTGGGATGCTATCTAATCAGCAATCTGCATTTGGATCTCTTCTCTGGTTGTGTGCTACATTGCAGCCTGGAATGGCAAAATTAATATCCTGACAACTCTGATATTGAAACAATCACCAGACCAGCATTTGTATACTCCGTATCCTATCTACCATTAGCAATTATTTTTTCCTCTTTTTGTTTAGAGTCTTCTTATTTGTACGCCCGTGCTTAGGGCATACTGCAACTTCCAATGGAGACAGACATTACATTCACGTAATTATATCCCATCAATCACATGCTCAACTTTGTTTAATACATTTTCTACATAAACAACTTAATGTGGATTACATTCCTTCATTCATTCACTGCGTTCATTCCACCGGGGCGAGCAAAGCACACCAATGCGAGAGAAAGTCTTTGCTCCTAACGACTTTACAATTAATATATCCTTACTTCAAAGGCCTGGTCTCTGTCCTATCAATGAGAGCTGCTACCCAACTGTTGTCTCAGTTAGCTATGCTTCCAAAGTCACTATGCCTCTCTTGTATATGACCAAACCCTAAATCAGTGGGTTACATCCCATCTAGCTCAGGAGTCATTGAATCTGTGGTGTTCTTTTGGTTTTTCTTCTTCCTGTTTTTCTTTGGAATGGCATCACGTCTGAAACTGACTGAACTCAATTTCATCAGGCTTTCTTCCGTTGACAACTACTACCACTCTCATTCCAAATCCAACCTCTTCCCTACGACACACTAGGAAAGCCATTTTATGTTTGAGTTCTGCCTGTACCAGATCTCCATTCTCCAGTCTTCCTATATGAAATTGAATTCATGTCATTGCTGGGGCTGGTAGTACTAGATGTCCAGAGTACATTTTTTTTTTTGTCTGTATGCTTCTCTCAGTCATCGCTCTCTTCTGATACCTGTGCAGGTTGAGGTGGAACGGATTGATATTGGTGAGCCCCATAATCCAGGTATGTTGTGTTTAGAGGCTTCTTTGTATTTTGAGCGTTACTTTTTCTTTCTTTGGTATTATCTTTCCAGCTTTATGTCATCATGTGGATTGAAGTGAGTGAGATTGCTACGGAAGCTGTGTTATATCATTGGCAAAAGCTAGTTCCTGTCAAATGTAATCCAGGAAACTTATCTTACTGATTTTGAATGGAGGCCATTCCCTGGCACCCCTTGGTATTAATGTTTGGTTAGTTATTAGAAGATTAAATTGACATTTTGTTTGAAAATCTATTTCTTTTGCCATTTTTTTACCGTCATTTCTTGTTCTTCACTTGCAAGAAATCTGAAACCTGTAACTCACTTCAATATGGGATAAAGAGCCTAAGTTCCTATAAAACTGCATAAAGAAGTGAAACATGAGATGTTTCTTTATTGGGTACTTGTTTAGGCCTTCTCTTGATTCTCTAATGCTAAATTGCTATTCATTGTTTGAAAGGTCCAAAACCTGCAGTGAAGGGAGCTGCTACTCATTCACCCTATCCATCAAGTGCCCCCACTGCCTCTCCAGGCCCCAGAAATTACGAGGCTGAGGAAAATCAAGACATAGACATCGACGAACTCTTCGGCATCGGATCGCCGGACAACGAAAACAATGCCGAGCAAAAGGTTGAGTTTGGATCTGATGCCAATGAGCCACGTCACAATGATTCAGATGACGAGATCGCTGATGTGGACGATAGTGGCGACGAAGGGCATAAGGGCCAGAATGCAGCGGATGCTCTGAGAGCTCAACTCAATGCAGAGGGCAGGGACCGTCAGACATCTTCGTCCGGCAGTAGCAGTGGGAGCGGAAGCGGTAGCGGGAGTAGCAGCAGCAGCGACAGCGATGCGAGCGATGACGACTCGGTCAACTCTGTCTGAGAGGCACCAGGTAACAAATTTTAAGGCATAAAGGAATACAGTCATATAATAGCAATATCTCAATAAGCCATCCCGGTGTTTGACGGGGTTGGAACATGATTTTTATAAATTTTTCTTTTCTGTGGTGGGACAAAGTTTGTCTTTCCGTCAATGCCGCCCCCTTCTCAGTTGCATTAGCTACAGCATGAACTTCAAAAACTGAGATGATTTGAAAGAATGTTCACTTGCATTTAGTTGTCTCATTAGGGCAAGCGATCAACCTCCTGCTGCTTTTTGGATTGAGGTGTATCATACAGAATTCAACCAATAGATGGAAAAGCGGCTGCTTCTGCTGTTTGCGCAGATTGAGTGGTGAGGGCAATCTGAGAGGGCATCATAGAGAAGCTAATTTCTGAAAACTTTTGGTTGAAAAGTATATGCAGGGAGCGTTTACAATCCATTCATGTGGGTGTTGGATGTTTAACTTGCAAACGGGGTTCCGGTATCAAGCATCGTTTTTCTCTTGGCATAAGGTTTGAATTTGGTGAAGACAAAGAATTCGCTTGTACCTACAAAAAAATCAAAAGTTTGGTCAATGATTAATTGGTTCTGTGCTTTGAATTATTGGCGATCTAGATTAATAGATCATTAGGTTGCATCATCAATGTTTAAAAGATGAAAGCTACATGGACAGATGACGCAGGATCTGACGTAGTACTTGAATCCAGATGTTCTCGATAGTCAATGGTCGACTATGGTACGGATGACGTCGTTGGTACTACTATTCCCAAAAGTCTCCTATTATTGAGCAAGCGATCTCCATTATTGGTTCACCTATCTCCTAATGCAACTTTAATGGAAGAGAAGAAGAATTAAATTGACTAATATGAAGTTGGTCATCAAACACCTTCCAGAAAAGAATGGTAGTTGGCTTAGACAATCCGAATATTGTGTTTTCAAAGTTTTTGTGCGATCCTATCATATAGATTGAATTATTGAGAGACGAGGCACGAATGAAGATCACGTTTTTAAGGGTGCGCATGGAATGCATTCCGGAATAAAAATTCTGTTCCGAAATGTATTCTGGAACAGAATGGCGTTTGTTAAAAAATTTCCGGAATGGATTCTGGAGCGACTTTTGCATTCTGGAATAAAAATGCGTTTGTTAAAAATACTTGATTCCAGAATGCATTCTTGATTCCAGAATGCATTTTTGATTCCGGAATGAGTTTTTGGCAAGAAAAAGAGAAGCTAGTTTTTGTAACTTCTTGATTCCGGAATGCATTCTCCCTATTTTCTCACAAATTTTTTTTTTTCAGAAAATGCATAAAAATTGAAAAATTCTAGAAAAATTCATAAAAATTTCCAGAAAATAAAAAAAAGTCAGATTTTGGGAAAACATGAAATTTGGTGAATTTTTTTTTAAAAATAAAAAAAAATCATAAATTTCAAAACTTCACAAAATAGCTTAAAACACATGTGGCCACCCACTTTGTGTGAAATTTAAATTTTTTGAGGTGCCCAAAAAAAAATCAAAAATTTCAAAACTTCAAAAAATGACTTAAAATACCTGTGACCACCTACTTTGAGTGAAATTTAAATTTTTTGAGGTGCCCAAAAAAAATAAAAAAAATAAAAAAATAAAAATTTTCAAAACTTCACAAAATGACTTAAAATACCTGTGGCCACCCATTTTGAGTGAAATTTAAATTTTTTGAGGTGCCCAAAAAAATAATAAAAAATAAAAAATTTCAAAACTTTACAGAATGGCTTAGAATATCTGTAGCCACCCACTTTGAGTAAAATTTAAATTTTTTTAGGTGCCCAAAAAAATAAAAAATTCAAAACTTCACAAAATGGCTTAGAATACCTGTGGCCACTCACTTTGAGTGAAATTTAAATTTTTTTAAGTGCCCAAAAAAATTAAAAAAAATCAAAAATTTCAAAACTTTACATAATGTCTTATAATACATGTGGCCACCCACTTTGAGTAAAATTTAAATTTTTTTAGGTGCAAAAAAAATCAACAAATCAAAACAGATTTCTATTCCAGAAATCAATTTCTGGAGCAGAATTAGTCATGTTTTACCAAACAGATTTCTCCTCCAGAAATCAATTTCTGGCAAGAATTCCAGAAATCAATTTCTGGCAAGAATTTGATTTCTGGAGCAGAATGGTTACCATTCGCACCCTAAGATGCTAGTCGACGCCTATTTCCTAATTGCTCGACTTGCCAATCCGAGTCCATGGTCCGATGGCTTTGCGTACAAATTGCTGTGCTCAGGCCGTGTTGGGTTGAAGTCTGGACCCTAGCCAAGCTGCAGACTTGGAATCTGGACATGGGACTTAGGACCTCGACCTTAGGCTCGGGATGTCTATTAAGGACTCATCCTGAGACTCAATTACCGCTTCAACCCGACATTTCGATGTAGGTATACTAGATTCAGGTCCCGGTGCCCAAAGTTGGGTCCCCATCCAGCCTCAAACTTGGGAGCCGAATGTGAGAACTCGGTACTTTGACCGGCGAATCTTGGACGATCGACGCTTGAGATGCAGGTCTGTTTTGGCAAAGAAGTGCATGAGTTTCATACTAATGAATACAGGAAAATTTCTTGGACACATGTTGAAAACTAAACTCTAAACGAAAATTCTTCAAGACTGACGTAACTTTGAACGCCTCGCACCCAAAGGATCAAGCACTTCAACACGATTTCCTTTTCAAATGAATCGATGGGATGAGCATGCATTTCACCTCGTAGAATTAAGCTAATCACGTGATTACAGCAACCTCAAATTTTTCGACAGAACAAATTTAGCTGCAGCGCGCGCGGCGAGCACGCCTCACGAACCGGAATGACCCAGGACGTGAGCCCACATCCCAAGAGGACAAATGTCCTCCGTGGACCTACAATTCAATTAACACTCATTTAGAAAATATGTGGGAAAGGACAGGGTAATAAACAACTAAAAGACACCATGGCGGTCGCTTGTGGGCGGTACAGTACAGTCTCCCCCCTGCTCAATCGGAAGAAAGCCTTTAAAAAAGAACAAACCTTTCTTAAAGATCCCAAATCAAAATCCCATTTTTTTTTTTTGTCCACACCGAAATCGCATCCGTAGAGAGAGACAGAGCGAGTCCCACGAACAACAGTGTCTCTTTCTCTTCTCCTCTTCGCCATCATCATCATCGCCATCCTGCTAACAAATCCGACCTGAAAACCCTAATCCCACCCTCTTGGAATCAAATCCTCTCAGCCTTCATCTCTTGCCTTTTCTGGGCGTAGAATCTGGTCATCGTAGCGGGGTTGGCTGAAGTAAATAGTGACGGGTGATACTGCTTCTGTTTTCTCCCCGTTATCCCATTTTTGACCCCATCTTCAGCTTCGATTTACTCCACCTTCACTTTCTTCCACCCCTTGCCTCTCCAAGAACTGCACCAGCGCCGAGATCGGTGCATACCCATTTCCACGAATCCGCTCCAGACCCTGAATTCGACGCAAAGTTCCGTCCTTTGATGCGATACCCGTATGCCCATCTTCGCTCTCGAGCTCCATAACCGACCCAGATTGCGAAGAGGCAGAGAGATTATTATTCAATGATGGGAGCTGAGAGAAAATGGATGTTCACGCTTTTCTCAGCCACATTCCTCTCCCTCTTCCTCCTGCTCGTCTTCTCAATCTCCGCCTTCAGCTCGCCCAAGCCCCTCCCTTCGATAATCCTCCGCGGCCCGCACCACCCGCCCGCCTTCGCTTACTACATATCGGGCGGGCGGGGCCAGAAGGACCGGATCCTCCGGCTGCTGCTCGCGGTGTACCACCCGCGGAACCGGTACTTGCTGCATCTCGGGAAGGAGGCCTCGGATGACGAGAGGAGCAGATTGGCGGCCGCGGTGGAGGCGGTGCCCGCGATTCGGAGCTTCGGCAATGTGGATGTGGTGGGCAACCCGGATCCCTTCACGTACATGGGATCGTCGAATATTGCCGCGACCCTGAGGGCCGCGGCAATTTTGTTGAAGGTGGACAGCGGTTGGGATTGGTTCATTACTCTGAGCGCGTTCGATTACCCGCTGATCACGCAAGATGGTAAGCAGTTTCGGAGAAAATATCCAGTTTTGTTTGTTTGTGTCCTGCGGTTGGGGATTATGTTGGATTTTGTGATAGAGCTGTTCTTCTTTGGCCAGTATGTGAAGGAGTTGTTATTGGCGTCTCTTTTGTCTGTGATTTCATGATATTAGTTGAGCCAGATGCTGCGTTGGAAAAATTCTCTGTTACTTGGAAGTTCCATTTCTGGGTTACTTCTCGATATGGAAAAACCAATTACCGATTTGCGAGGGTAGAAAAAATAACGTGCCTTCACATGTCAATTGTATAACAAAAAAGGGAAATTCTTCGCCTCATTTGGTATGTTATTGATGAGGCAAACTGCTAGTTTGGCCTGTTATTATAGGATCTGTTATGTGTTCTGTCGATCAGTAATCCTCTAGGGACCAAGAGGTCTTTGGTATGCTTACCCGCACTTGAGAGATAATATCAAAGCAAATTTGATGTAGTCGGAATCTGAAACATATCCAGTGAGGGTCTATTTTACATGGTGCAACAGAAAGGGCTGGGTTCCTCGTTTTTGGCTTAGGTTGCTTATGACTGGGATGTAAACCTGTGGCTTTTGTAAGGCCGATGTTGATTTTTGCAACTAGTTGCCCAAATTGTACTTTTCCTTCTATTCTGAGAGTAAGCAGGAACGTTGTTTTGGGGGATCTGGCTGGTGCAGCTGCAGGCCCCTGCTTATTCTGCCATTTAGAGACCATGGTGTTATCCTTTTGTGATCCTTTTATGTGTTTTATCTATCAGGTGCCTTGTGGTGTTTGAGTGATGCATTGCATGTACATGATCCTCTTGGAGTCGTGTTTTGCGTAATTCTTGTCATATTACCTGGAGCCCATGACCTTTGCTCTAAGCAATCTTCACATTCTTGCCATATGGTTGCTTTCAGAGAGATCCAGCGACCCATTTGAGTTGGCTGATGTGGATCCACCATGATGGTATCATCAAGTCAGATTGAACTGTTGCTGAGTGAGAGGCAATGTCCATCAACAGTTTAGATTACTAAATTCCTTGCTAACATGTACTTACTCCTTTTGCCACTCATATTCCCTATAGAAATATGCTGAAATAGCGCCAAACAATTTCGAGTGTACTTCTGACTATGCCCAGCATTAACTACATACAAAACTCAGACCCAAATGCCAGTTAAACTTGCGCAAGTATTTCTTGTTAGTTTTCACCTGGGATGTGAAAGTGGAAGCCAAGGATTGATCTCTTCGTCAGTAAGGTTGTTTCGGTGCAGCATTACATCAGGTTTTCGGCAAAGATTTTTCTGTTGTGATTGGGCATAAAACCTGTGTCAATATGTTTCAGCTCTGCCTGTATTTTGACCTAGTATTAACTTAATCAAATATGGACATTTGATTTCATGGAGTTCGCTAATGCTGGATTGGTGCATGCTAGAGAACATTCAAAGAAGATTCAGAAATTAGACGTTGAAATTATGTCACTTGATACTGTGATAGTGCGCTTTTGTAGCGAACCAGTGCAAGAAGGCTTTAGTTTGGTTGTTGTTAATGGTGTTGTTGATGGGTATAGCTCAGGCTGCTATGATTCCAGTTGTCTACCCCTGAGACAAGAGACCCACCCAATTTTTATGCAAGATGTCTTTATTAACTTACAAGTTGCGAGTGGCGTTGTATTTTAACTTTGAGGGATTAGCCCTGATTATAAGAGAGAAGGGCGAACTTTTGGGGGAGTATGGGGGGTTAACTCGAAATGAGAGACCTTCGGCATAAGTCTTGATTACCTCTTTCCTATGACACAGGAGATGTATGGACTTTGTTTGTGCATGTCCAGAAGTTGGTACATCTGGATGGCTACTATGTGCTCCGACTGCTGCGGTACATCTTGATGGTCTAAGATGTTCACTGAGTCTTACATAGAAAATTTGGTGCAGGATCTTCCCTCCATGCAGACTGCCGTCAGATTCTTTAGTTTCTTCCTTTTGCTTTGCTTGACATACTTTCTTTGAATATTTCCCCTATGACCTGGACACTTTTCCTTCTGTCAAGTTTCATCTACCAAAATCTCGATTTATATTCTCAATTTTCTTTGAACTCCAATGCTAGAAACTAATTAGTAGTTTAAAATCCTTCTCGAGTTTGCCATCATGACATGTGCCCTTTAATCTTTCACACTGTTCTAGCAATACATAGGCATTTCTTTCTTTCATTTTCATTGCAGCTTGCTTAAACTTATTGGGCTGCTGGGAAGTCCCTTGATCCTCTGGTTTCCCCTTGCAGATCTCTCCCACGTTTTCTCCTCAGTTAGCAGGGATCTCAATTTTATTGATCACACCAGTGATCTTGGATGGAAAGAGTAATTTCCTCTCTCTCTCTCTCTCTCTCCCGCGCACACACGCATGCACACAAGAAAAGCTCTTCCAAGATGTTATTTTGAAAGGATCGTCTTAACATATCCTGATTGCTTTCTTATTCTGGTGCAGACAGCAAAGGATCCAACCTATTGTGGTTGATCCTGGGCTATATTTAGCCAGGAGAACTCAAATTTTTCAAGCAACAGAGAAACGACCAACCCCCGAAGCATTTAAAGTCTTCACCGGTAAAGATTTCTCAATGGCCATCACCTATTAAAGTATCAAGTCAGAAGCAGATTGCTCTCTAAGCAGACTCACGTTGAGCATCTCTTGATAGGTATAATAACTAGTGTTTGTGCCTCCATGCAGGTTCTCCTTGGGTCATGCTGAGCCGACCCTTTCTTGAATTTTGTGTTTTTGGTTGGGATAACTTGCCTCGAACCCTTCTTATGTACTTCAACAACGTGATGTTATCGCAAGAAGCATATTTTCACTCGGTCATCTGCAATTCCCCCGAGTTCAAGAACACCACTGTAAACAGCGACTTGAGATTCATGATCTGGGACAATCCACCTAAGATGGATCCCCTGTTTCTCAACAGTACCGACTATGATCAGATGGTCCAAAGTGGGGCTGCTTTCGCAAGACAGTTCAAAAAGGATGATCCCGTTCTGGACATGGTCGATGAACATATTCTCAAACGTGGGCCCACCCGAGCTGCCCCTGGACCGTGGTGCACGGGTCGCAAGGGCTGGTTGATGGATCCATGCTCTCAGTGGGGTGATGCTAACGTCTTGAAGCCTGGTCCGCAGGCAAAGAAGCTTGAAGATTCTGTCATGAATCTTGTCGATGACACGAAGTCACAGTTGAATCAGTGCAAGTGAGGCCATAGTAGTTCAAGAAGGAATGAATCATTTCCCTGATAGCGGTGCAGTCACATAGGCGATTTAAAAGGGTAGCCGTCAGTGGATATACATTCTTTCAGGTTGAATGAAACCGATTCTTTTGAGAGTTCCTCTCATGATCTCTTGACGGGCTCCTGTTCTGTGGATAATAGGAGGGGCGGAGAAGGTAAAACAGAGCAAATTCACTTCAAAGCGTGGGCTGGCATTGTGTTTTGGGGAAAGGAGATTGTATGGTGAGCCTCTCTATTATGAAAGAGGATCTCTCTCTCTCTCTCTCTGGGCTCGCAATTTGCATGCTCTTTTTCTGCATTTGTATTGTGTAGGTTCTGCCTCTGCTTTTCATTGATCACAGTTTATTGGAGGAAAGTGCATTCTTTAACCTGCCGATGGTGCTCTCTCTCTCTGTCTCTCTCTCACTCATATTTTTTTGAAAACTGAATCCTGGAAACAAGATCTACTAAAATGAAACAGTTCGGGTCATTAACATTTTCTTCAAAAGACTAAATCAGGGTAATCAGATGCTGAGTTGCTCTGTGTTAGCATGTCCCATTGAAATCGCAAATAAGCGATGTGGGATAATTTCAATACCCCATCTCACGTGCTAATCGGACTGAGTACCACATGTGGTATTGTCATACGACATAAATCTTATCTGAACGGAAATTGACGTCGATACCATATTAGGGTATGAAACGGCATAGGATTATATTAACAATTACTACATACAAATCACAGATACAGAATTAAGTAGTTTTAAACAAGTCTTTGTATGTCCAGTATTACGTGGCTCGTATCTTTAATAGACCCGACCATTGACAATGGGTGCAAACGACCAATTTTTCTGATTTCCAAGAACGTCACGTAATTATCAGAGTGCTACGTACTTTTTAGGTTAAACCCCAAAAATTGGCCTAAAACTTTTGCCTGTGCGGAGGAAAAAAATAGCTCAATATTTTTCTCCACAAACTTTCGCGCGAGGGGCGAGAATACCTACCGTTAAAATTTTCAGTCCAAGCAAGATGATGTATAAGAAAAAGAGGCCGATTTTCTAAAAGAAATCGGCACCGTTTGGCTCTTGCTGACTTGTCATCGGCATCTTTCGCCTCAGCTCAGCTCTTTCAATATAGGAATAACGAAACAAACAGTTTCTGAACTTTAGCCCGGCGTGCAATTTGGCTCTTGAACTTTTAATTTGTTCAATGTAATTTTTGAACTTTAGCCTAATGTTCAATATGGTCCATGAACTTTTAATTTGTTCAATGTGATCCCTAAATTTTTTGTACATGTTCAATTTAGTCCGTGAATTATATGAAAATGTTCAATGTAGTCCCTAAATTTGAATTAATGAAATGACTATATTGAATATTTTCGTATAGTTCATGGACTAAATTGAACATGTACCAAAAGTCTATGGACCATATTGAACAAACTAAAAGTTCAGGGATCACATTGAATATTATGCTAAAGTTCATGGATTATATTGAACAAATTAAAAGTTCAGGGATTAAATTGCACGTTGAGCTAAAGTTTCGAGACTATTTGTGTCTTCAGCCATCGCCGTTTCGTTTCCCCTCTCTCTCTCTCTCTCTCTCTCTCTCTACCTACCCACCCACATGGACCGGCGTCGTTTCCTCCGGCGCTCGTCGGCGCAAGCCCGCTCCTTCTTCGCCCCCGCCTCCCCTCCCGGAGCGCCCGCCCCTTCACCTCGAATCCGGCTCGCGTCTCCGTCCGGCCACCGTCTCGGCCTCAGCAGATCGATCCGCGGCGGCTCGGGGCGTACCCATGACGGCCCGCGTTCGGACGGGACCGCCCGGGACGCGGATGAGCTCGTGAGGATCCTGTCGAGCGCCGCCGGCTCCGGTTCCTCCGTCGAGTCGTCCCTGAATGGCGCCGCGGCGGCGGCGGCGATGCCGCCGGCTCTGGTCGCGGAGGTTCTGAGGAGGCTGAGCAATGCGGGTGCTCTGGCGCTCTCCTTCTTCAGATGGGCTGAGACGAAGAGAGGGTTCGAGTATAGCACCGAGAGCTACCATGCTCTGATCGAAGCTTTAGGAAAGATCAAGCAGTTCGGCTTGGTGTGGAAAGTGGTCGATGAGATGAAGCAGAGAGGGTTGGTGACTAAAGAGACCTTTGGGTTGATCTCGCGCAGATACGCGAGAGCCAGGAAGGTTAAAGAAGCGATCGACGCCTTTGAGAGGATGGGGAAGTTTGGATTGAGCTTGGATTCGTCTGATTTCAATAGGTTGTTGGATACTTTGTGCAAGTCGAGAAATGTGGCGAAAGCACAGGAGGTGTTTGATAAAATGAAGGGGCGGTTCAAGTTGGATCTCAAGTCGTACAGTATTCTACTGGAAGGTTGGGGTCAAGAAATGAACTTGTTGAGGATGATGGAAGTTTACAGGGAGATGAAGGACGAGGGGTTTGAGCTGGATGTTGTGGCTTACGGGATCATGCTCAATGCGCATTGCAAGATTAAGAAGTACGATGATGCCGTTGGGTTGTATCATGAAATGCTAGCCAAGAACTGCAAGCCTACTCCTCATATATTTTGTACTTTGATTAATGGGTTGGGGTCTGAGAAGAGGTTAAGTGAAGCATTGAAATTTTTTGAGCAATCCAAGGCTTTTGGGTTTGCTCCAGAGGCTCCGACTTACAATGCTCTGGTGGGAGCTTATTGCTGGTCGATGCGGATGGACGATGCTTATAGAGTTCTCAATGAGATGAGAAAATGTGGCGCCGGACCAAACTCCAGGACTTATGACATAATCCTTCACCACTTGGTAAAAGCTAGGAGATCGAAAGAAGCTTACTCGGTCTTCCAGAAGATGAGCAATGAACCAGGGTGCGAGCCAGCTCTGAGTACATATGAGATCATAGTGAGGATGTTTTGCAATGAGGACAGGACGGATATGGCATTGAGAGTTTGGAAACAAATGAAGGACAAGGGTGTCCTTCCTGGAATGCACATGTTCTCTACTGTGATTGCCAGCCTTTGCCATGAAAATAAATTGGATGATGCTTGCAAGTACTTTCAGGAGATGATGGACGTGGGTATACGTCCTCCGGCTAATACGTTTAGCAAGTTGAAGCAATGTCTCCTGGACGAGGGACGGAAGGATGATGTTCTGAATTTTTCTAGGAAGATTGACAAATTGAGGAAAACACCACTCGTCTCATTGTAATACGCCAAAAGATTCTGGCCTCTTGATAATGCCTTGGGTTCTTATTTTTTCGGCCTTTGGGTATATTGACTCTTAGAGCCTCTGTTGGATGCATGTGCAACTGCGTAAGTAACTTAAGGACCGACAGCGGTACTGGAAAACCCATTTTGTAAGCATGGACTTGAACTAAGATCAGGTGGGAGATGGATGGAAATGCTCACTTAAGTCACTTGCTCACACTTCTCTGTCAAATCATTCCTAATTTCTCATCCTCTTCGCCCTTCTCCATCTCTACCTTTACCATCCCCAAACTCAGCACGCCTTCTTTACCTGCTTTATCGTTACAGTGCTGCCTTCTGCTCGGCATTGGGAGAAGGACCAGAACCTCTCAGTTGATCCCTACTTCATATTTGTAACCTTCCCTGTCTCGTCTTGTCACTGATGCTCTGAGTGCGTTCGATTACCCATTGATCATGCCAGATGGTAAGCAATTTCGGGAAAAATAACCAATTTTGTTTGCTTGTGTTCTGTGGTTAGGGAATATGTCGGATTAAGTGACATTGTTCTTTTTTTTGCCAGTTTGTGAAAGAGTTGTTATTGGTGTCTCTTTGTCTGTGATCTCATGATATTGGTGGAGCCAGATGCTGTGCTGGAAAATTTTTCTATTACTGGGAAGTTCCTTTTCTGGGTCATCTCTTGATATGGAAAAACCAATTGCTGATTCGCGAGGGTTGAAAAATTACACGCCTTCACATGTCAATTGTAGAAAAAATGATAAATTCTTCCACTCATTTGGTCTGTTATTGATGAGGCAAACTGTTATTTTTGCCTGTTATTATAGGATCTGTGACATGTTCTGTTGATCAAATTGTAAGGTCGATGTTGGTCATTGGCCAAATTGTACTTTGTAAGGCCAATGTTGATTATCGCAACTTGTTGCCCAAATTGTACTTTTCTCTCTATCCTAAGAGTAAGCAGGAACTGGATATTGGGGGATCTGACTGGTACAGTTATAGGCCCCTGCTTGTTCCATAACTTAGAGACCATGGTGTTGTTCATATCCTTTTGTGAGCATTTTTTGTGTTTTATCTATTTGGTGCCCTGTGGCGTTTGAGCAATGCATGACATGAACATGATCCTCTTGGTATTGTGCTTTACATAATTCTTCTCATACTACCTGGAGTCCATAACGTTTGCTTTAAGCATTCTTCACATTCTTGCCATATTCTTGCTTTCAGAGAGATCTAATTATCCCCATTTGAGTTGGTTGATGTGGATCCACCATGATGGTACCATCATGTCAGATTGAACTGTTGCTGAGTGAGAGCCATTGTGCATCAAGAATATAGACTTCTAATTTCCTTGCAAACATCTACTTACTCCTTATCCACTCATATTCCCTGTAGAAATATGCTTAAATAGCTCCGAAAAATGATAAATGTTCTCCTGAATATGCTCAGCATTAACTACATCCAAAACTCAGACCCAAATACAGTTGAGCTTGCACAAGTATTTCTTGTTAGTGTTCACCCGGGGTGTGATGGTGGAATGCAACGATCCGCCCAGATCTATCTGATCTGATTGGGCATAAAAACTGTGCCTATATATTTCAGCTCTGCCTGCCTTTTGGCGTAGTATTAACTTGATCAAATACGGACATTTGATTTTCTGGAGTTCTCTCATGCCAGAGTGGTGCATGCTAGAAAGCATTCATTAAAGATTCAGAATTAGACCGTGTCATTTGATACTGTGATAACATGCTATTATAGCGAACTCCAATCTAGTGCAAGAAGGCTTTTGGTTGTTTTCAATGGTGTTGTTGACGGGTATAACCCAGGCTGCTTTAATTCCAGTTGTCTACCCCTGAGGAAAGAGACCAACACAATTTATATGCAAGGGGGACTCATATAAGGAGATGTCTTTATTAAGTTACAAGTTGCGAGTGCCATTGTATTTTCACAACGAGGATTAGCCCTGATTGAAGGGCTAATTTTTGGAGGTGTCTGGGTGTAAATAAGAAATGAAAAAACTTAGGGATAAATCTTGATTACCTCTTTTTTATGACACGGGAGATGTATGGACTTTGTTTGTGCATGTCCAGAAGCTGGTACATCTTGATGGCTACTATGTGCTTTGACTGTTGCGGTACATCTTGATGCACTAAGATGTTCATTGAGTCTTGCATGGAAAATTTACTGCAGGATCTTCCCCTTCATACAGGCTGCCCTCAGATTCTTTAGTTTCTTCCTTGTGCTTTGTTTGACACTTTCTTCGAATTTTTTCCTATGACCTGGATACTTTTCCCTGTCAAGTTTCATCTACCTCTGTCTTGATTTATATTCTCAATCTTTTTTGAACTCCAATACCAGAAACTAATCAGTACTCTAAGATCCTTCTCGAGTTTGCCATTGTGACATGTGCCATTTGGTCTTTCACACTGTTCAAGCGATCGGCGTTTCTTGTCAATCATTTTCATTGCAACTTGCTTGTACTTATTTGGCAGCTGACCTTGATCTTCTGGTTTCCCTTGCAGATCCCTCCCATGTTTTCTCCTCAGTTAGCAGGGGTCTCAATTTTATTGATCACACCAGTGGTCTTGGATGGAAAGTGTAATCTTCTCTCTCTCTCTCTCTCTCTCTCTCTCTCTCTCTCTTTCTCTCTCTCTCTGTCTCTCTCTCTATCACACACACAAAAAAAAAGAAGAAAAAAAGAAGAGAAAAAAAAAGCTCTTTCAAGATGTTTTGGGATGTTTGTCTTAATATATCCTGATTATATTCTTATTCTGGTGCAGACAGCAAAAAATCCAACCTTTGTAGTTGATCCGGGACTTTAATTAGCCAGGCGAACCCAGATATTTCAAGTGACAGAGAAACGACCAACCCCTGAAGCATTTAAAGTCTTCACCGGTAAAGATTTTTTCAATGGCTGTCGCCTATTAAAGTATTAAGGCAGAAGCAGAATTGGTCTCTAAGCAGACTCATGTTGAGCATCTCTCGATAGGTATAACTGGTATGTGTGCCTCCATGCAGGTTCTCCTTGGGTCATGTTGAGCCAACCCTATCTTGAATTTTGTGTTTTTGGTTGGGATAACTTGCCTCGAACCCTTCTGATGTACTTAAACAACGTGATGTTGTCGCAAGAAGCATATTTTCACTCGATCATCTGCAATTCCCCCGAATTCAAGAACACCACCGTAAACAGCGATTTAAGATTCATGATCTGGGACAATCCACCTAAGATGGATCCCCTCTTTCTATACATTTCCGACCATGATCAAGAGGTCCAAAGTTGGGCTGCTTTCACAGGACAGTTAAAAAGGACGATCCTGCTCTGGACATGGTCGATGCACATACTCTCAAACGTGTGGGCCCAACCGAGCTGCCTCTGAGGCTTGGTGCACGGGCCGCAAAGACACGGGCCGCAAAGACTGGTTGATGGATCCATGTTCTCGGTGGGGTGATGTTAACATCTTGAAGGCTGGTCTGCAGGCAAAGAAGCTTGAAGATTTTATCATGAATCTTCTAGAGGTATTGAAGTCACAGTTGGGTCAGTGCAAATGAAGCCTTGGTAGTTCAAGAAGGAATGAATCATTTCCGCAACAGTGGTGCAGTCACATAGGCCAGCGTAAGAGGGTAGCTGTCAGTGGACATACATTCTTTCAGATTGAATGAAACCGATTCTTTTAAAGGTTCCTCTCATGATCTCATCACGGGCTCCGGTTCTGTGGATAATAGGAGGGGTGGAGAAGGTGAAAACAGAGCAAATTCACTTCAAAGTATGGGCTGGCATTGTGTTTTTGGGAAAGGAGTTTGTATGGTGAGCCTCTCTATTAGGAAAGAGGATCTCTCTCTCTCTCTCTCTGGGCTTGCGGTCTGCATGCCCTTTATCTGTATTGGTATTCTGTAGGTTCTGCCACTGCTTGTCATTGATCACTGTTTATTGTAGGGAAGTAAATTCTTTTTCCTGCTGGTGTGCTCTCCCTCCCTCCCTCTTTCTCTCTCTCTCTCTCTCTCATCTTTCGAAAACTGAATCATGAAAACAAGATCTACAAAAGAGAAACAGTGCAGCTCATTGACATTTTCTTCAAAAGTTCACATCAGGATGCTGAGTTGCTATCTGTTAGAATGTCCCATTGTAATTTCAAATAAGCGATGTGGGATAACTTTAATATGACATCTCACATACCGATTGGAATGAGATGTGAAATTGACAAAGCTTCACACGCAACATAAATTTGGACGGAACTTGACCCTGATGCCATGTCAGTACGGGTCTGTTTAGTAACGTTTCTGTTTCTTTGTTTTTCTGTTCTTTTGTTCCCCGGAACAGAAAAAGAACAGAAATCCGTTTAGTAAAAAAAATCTATTTTTTTTTTCGTTTAGTAAAAAAAATCTATTTTTTTTGTTTCTAGAACAAAAAAGTGTTCCAGAAATAGATTTGGAATAGAAACAAGAAGCATAAAAAATATGCTTCATGTTTCTGGAACAAGAAAAAAGAAACGATTTTTTTTTTAGAATTCTTCAAAAACAAGAAACAATCCATCGGCCGCAACCCGCCCACCGCCGCCTCTCGCCGTCCTTCGTCGCCACCTACCGCCCGCCTTCCTCCGCCGCCGCCCGCCGGCCAACGCTCGCCGGCCGCCTCCCGCCCGCTGGCCGCCTCTTGTCGTCGACCACTGTTCTCCGCCGCTCGACGCTTGTCGCCACCGGCCGCCGTCCTCCACCGCTGGCAGTCGTGCTCCATCGCCCGACGCCGGCCGCCACCCGGCGCTGGCTGCCTCCCCTCACCAACCACCTGATGCCGGCGATCACCCACCACCGGTCGCCGTCCTCCGCCGCCCCCGGCCACCCACCACCGGCCGCCATCCTCCGCCGCCGGCCATTGTGCTCCACCGCCCGACGCCGGCCACCACCCGGCGCTGGCTGCCCTCGGCCGCCGGCCACCTCCCGCCTTTGGCCACCCGACGCCGGCGGTCACCCGCCATCGGCCGCCATCCTTCGCCACCGACCGCTGTGCTCCATCGACCGACGATGGTCACCCTCCGCCGCCAGCCACCTCCCGCCGCCGCCCCCCGCTGCCGTCACCGTGCTCCGCCGCTGATCGCCGTGCTCCACTGCCTCCCACCGCCGGCCACCATCCTCTGCCGCCGCCGACCACCGTCCTCCGCTCCCCACCACCACCCGCCCCCCACCGCCACCCGCCGTCCTCCGCCAGTAGCCCAGAAGGGAGAAACTCGTCCATGGAATAGAAATGGATCATTCGCGCCCTAAACGCATTTCTATTCTTTTTCTATTCCAGGAATAGAAATTTTGTATAGTTACTAAACGCTATTTTTTGCTCAGAAATTGTTCCAAGAAATAGAAATAGAAAAAACTATTTCTGATAAAAAATTGTTTCTGGGAACATAAACATTGCTATGCAGACCCTACCTGTAGTGTTACTTTTAACACTATTAATGCATATAAATAAAAAAAAAAAAATACAACGAGATGTGAAACAATATTTTGTCCCGATTTTGATCTCCCATAAACTTTTTGAGTAATGTTTTAAATGAGTTAAGCACTCTCATGGAATGTCCGATTCTCCTTCTTAAAGCATTCTTTTTAATGTCTACCAAAGAGATTACATTCTATACCTAAATCATAAGTACTCCCTATCTGTCAGTTGGAGGAAAATGCGACGCTTCATTATCGAATAATGCTAACTAGGTTAATATCGGTTTACAAATTGATGTGCTAAATGATAAGATATTCGAAATGCACATCTATAGACGGCCATTATCACTTGGTACACGAACTCTTGCGATCTGGGGTTAGCTAGCAGTTGAAGTGCATACTCGAATTCACAGAAGAACCGAAGTTACGGAAGTTCATCTTATGCAGCTATCACGTTGACCTTTTATCGGTGCAGAAATACATGCATCAAAGACAATAATGTATAATAGAACACGAAGAACTTGTATCCTTGCACTCACAAAAGAACCAAGGTTATGGAAACCCATTACGACATATACGACAATGCGTCGAGAAAGCTAGATCTTTTCTAGCCATTCTACGCCAAAAACGACGTTCACAGTGATCGCAAACACTTACTATCGGCTATCGAATCAGGACTCGAAACAGTATTCACTCAATCATAAACTTCAAAAACGACCTATAGTAAATATAGAGGGAATGCATCAGTGTGGCTAGGGTTTGCGCGGTTCACTCAGAATCGAGCCGATCCTGCTTAGCCACTGTTGCGACCGAGCATCTTAATTTCGCAGCTTATACGGCAGATTCTTCGGCTTAGGGTCTTGATACGCGTGCGACGGACCTTAATCTTCATGTCTTCAAGCTGAATAGTTTCTGATGACTTGGAAATGCCTGGAACAATGGCACTTGTGTTAGAACTTACGTATCTTACAACAATGTGCAATCGCATGATTTTCCCTTCATTGAAACAGCAAAAGAAGATTAATAGAGTTTCGGAATGTTAAATAGAACAGTATGATGCCAGCACTTTTCTGCTCCTGCCACTCATATACACGTACGATGTACATACATGTCGCGCGCGCATATACGAAAGGTGAGGAAAAGTATCTATTGATATATTATCGTGCAAGAAATTCATTTTAATTTCTCGACGAAGATGAGAAGGGTTAGGCTTACCTATTTTAGCCAAAGCCGGGGCCGACTTCCCCTTTGAAGATGGAACCGAAGCTGTTTCTAAGGATGGCATGGAAGCCGGAATCGAAGCCGGATGGGAAACTGGTTTTGGACCCCAGTGCGATTTTGGCGGCAGAGGTGGAGGCGGAAATGGAAACAGGAACCGATACGGACACAAGAACGGCGGCGGCAGCGGCGGCGGCGGCAGCGGCGGCGGCGGCGGCGGCTGGGGCGGCCAGTCCATATGAGCCTTGGCTCTGCTCTCTGGTTTCGAGTGATGACCGCCCATCTTCCCCCACAAAACCAAAAGCTTCATGTGGAAATAATCGAGGAGGTTTTGTCGCCAAAGGTTGAGTTGTTGATGCAAAGTCTCGTATTCCTTAATGTCTCTTCTTTCTTTTAAAGCAGCTGCACAACTTATTATATGGTAATGCCCATTAATATTGCATGCAAATATTGGATTTCCTTCACAAAATAGGGTTTGGGAGATCCTGTTCTAGGGAAAGAGCATCCAGTTTTCATTTGCAAGATATTCACTTGCCATGCACAAAACAGATGTTTTTTACCAAAATATAATTGTTTTTAATCAAGAATATATAACTAATGACTGCCCTATGGAAAAAATATATATATTCTACCCTCCAAGCATATCTTTTTCGAAAAGATATTTTCAAAATAAAATCTCTCTCGAAATTATTTACCATAATAGCCGCCTTTATCTCTTCCTCCTTAAATTATTGAAACGATTTCTAACACTCTGCACAATCTGTTCCGCTGTCAATGTCCACCGTGAAGGGTTGAGAGGATCATTTGGCACACTAATTTCTCCGAATATATATATATATATTCATTAATTGTTGAAGGTATCAATCCTCGGTACTAATTAAATTTATCAAGCATTGTTATCGGATGCTTACCTTAAATTCGATATAATGCACATTATTGCTATTTCAGGAATAAATATATATATATATATTCTTTTATTCCTGAAATAGCAATAATGTGCATTATATCATGGTATCAGAGCCAAGGGGTAGATAAGGATATTCTTTATAATTTCATTCTCAGTAAAGACGATTTCCTTCGTGGAGATCTTTTCAAGTGATTTCTGGATGTGTTCCAGGCAGTAAAACCCAGTGGGGTAGTAAGACCGTTGGCAAGCATCGCCGAAATCTATTGAAAAGAAGAAAGTAGTCTTTTGAAATGAACTTATTAAGGAGATCTGAGTCTTCTTCTAGTTCTTTATCACAAATGTCCTCAGATCAAGGACCAATAAATAGGGAAGAAATTAATATAGAAGATTTCAATAAATCTATTGAAAATTGGTTTATTCCAAAAGTCAAGTTGGATAAAATTTATGAACATTCTAAATTTAGGCTCTTTGGAAACAATGATTACGTCATTGTTACTGAAGAAAGAGATATTCCACTTTCTAACTCCTTTGCTTCAATACAACTTTTGAATAAGGATTCTATAAAAAAGCATTCCCAGAAATGGAACTATATGCACATAGGATTAGTACAGGTTGGTGCAAAACCCCTTACCAAAGAAGGATTAGATACTTCCTTACTCCTAGTTTTAAGAGATGCTAGACTTTTAAAATATGAAGAATCTATTCTTGGTGCTGTCGAAACCAGTCTTTGCAGCGGACCAATTCATTTTGATAGTCACCCTGGTCTTACAGTCTCTCTCAAAGACAAAAATATTTTAAAATCTCTCACTCTTCAAATAAAAACCCATAATTATTCAATAGCTGAAGGTTCTATTCCCATAGCCCTTATATACAGAGTTTATTACAAAGTGATGAATTACGCAGCCGGGAGCAAAGCTTTTAAATTGAATTCCAATAGAGAAACCCTCCTTTTACAAACTGATATTTCTAAAGCAAATGTTACCATTCCCAGGACCATTCCTTGGAATCGATAACCCTTCCCGATCGGTGGGAATTAGAAAACCGAATTCCCCACCAATCATTCAAAATTCTGATCCTACCAATATCATTCAACATCCTGAAGGAAGAGTAACTATTCAATTTTCCAGAAGATCTATAGATATTCCTAGAAGGTCATGCGACATTAGATCAATTCCTTCTTGGCATTCTACTTCTTCTAGAAGGTCGGTAGATACCATTCCTAATGTTCCTTTAAATATCCCTTTGAATAATACTGAGGAAGCATCCACGAGTGCTCCCCCTCTTCCAAACATCAGTGGTATAGATAACAGGTCAGGAATTTCCAGGCCAGTTTATCAAAATACTCCTGACTTCCCTGATCCAACTCCTTCCGAAATGGAAGATCCTGAAATCAATGTTTTGGAAATAGCCTTTGAGCCTGACAAAATCATCTTGAATAAAGAATTCAATTCCTTTGATAATAAACATATCAGAGAATGGTTCTTTGCTAACTTTCAAAAACAAGCACTCGAAATCAAAAGGGAATATTATGATTACATGTATCAACATGAAGTCGAAATATTCTTCTTTGATTGGTTTGAAAATGAATTTCTAAAAGAAAAACAAATTTTTGTTCTAGATCAATTTTATAAATGGAAATTAGATGATGGCCATGTCATCGAGTCTAATCATCCCCCCCTTAGAAAAATCAAACTTGAACACCGAGAAACAGAAATAATTGCTTCTCCTTTCAAAACTGCCTCTGAAGCAGATGGCATCGGTATTAAAAAAATTGTTGAACAAAATAATTTTTCTAATCAACACCTGCACACCATAGGTAAGCAGCTTGATCGTATTGAGAATCTTACTCAAATTAATTTCCCATCTTCTTCTGTAACAATTCAGAAAAAGGATTTAAAACCGCCTCTCTTTAGGAATTTTGAAATTCCAAAGAATCCTAGTCTTGATTTTGCCAAAGCTTTAGAGGATAGAAGAAAACTCCTCAAAGGAAAAACGGTTTTGATTCCTAAAAATCCTATAATTTTGGATACTCCTTTAATACAAAATCTGAGTGTCAAAGACACTCCTGACCGCATTGAATCTTCCAATCAGATCAATCTTTTAGATAAATCCGATACTGAATCCCTTCCAGAAATAAATCGTATCACTTGGAAGGATCCTCAGAAGTTATATTACTCTCGTGCGACTCCTCCTGATATTCTCACCGAAGAAACTTTTTCTAGAGTCCAAAACAAGTATTCTTCTGATGCTATCTATGAATGGAATATAGATGGTGTTTCTGAACAAAACCTTATAAATATTCTGACTCAAATGGTCATGCTTGCTAATACTTATAAAACCATCCCTGATACTTCCGATCATTCTGTTGCTTATCTTTTAATAGCCGGATTTACAGGCCAGCTCAAAGGATGGTGGGATAACTATCTGAATGATGAGCAAAGGTCTCAAATTTTAAATGCCTTTAAACTCGACTCTTTTGGTCAAAATATTCTTGATGAGGATGATCAACCTATCCAAGATGCTATTAATACTTTGATATTCTCCATATCCCAACATTTTCTAGGAGATTCTTCTCATATTCTCGATAAAAATCAAGATCTTTTGTCCAATATGAAATGTAGATCTTTAGGAGAATTCCGAGAATATAAAGAAATATTTTTGCAAAGAGTATTCCAAAGAACAGGTACGCAACCGATCTTTTTGGAAAGAAAAATTTCTTCTTTGGTTTACCAAAACTCATAGGAGAGCAAGTCCGTGGTAAGATAAGAGAAGAATATGGAAACCAGATTCCATATGACCTTCTTTCTTTTGGTGAACTAACTTCTTATATTTACAAAATAGGAACACAATTGTGCACTAACATTCGTCTCCAAAAACAAATCAAGAAAGAACAAAAACTTTCTAAAAAAGGATTAGGAGATTTTTGTGCCCAATATGATCCATCTTTTGAATCTTTTGAAAAATCCAAATGTTCAGGAAAATGCCCTTCTAAACAAAAGGATAAAAGGAAATTTTATAAGAAACCTTATAAAAAGAAGTTTGATAAAAGACTTTCTAAGAAAAAGGAAAATGATGATTCTGATAAAACCAAAAAACCCAAAAGGGATTTTAAAAAGATCACTTGTTATAATTGTGGCAAGAAAGGCCACACCTCTCGATTTTGCAAACTCAGCAAAAAGGTCAATGAGTTAGATTTAGATGAAGAAACTATTAATCAACTCAATCAATTAATGATTGAAACTGATAGTAGTTCTTCTGATGAATCTAGTCTTGAAAAAGGTTTGCAAATTTGCGATTTAGAAACCTCTTCTTCAAGTTCAGACAGTGAAAATGAAGAAGCCACCAGTTTTGAAATAAATGTTTTGACAAAAGAAGAAGAAATTCTTCTACAAACTTTTGATGAAATATCTGACCCTGAAACAAAGATTAAATATTTGAATCAATTTCAAAATCCCAAATCCGTTTCTAAACCCACTCTTCAAACCGATAGTCCTTACAATATTTCTACTATTCTTGGCAAAACCAAAAAAGCAAAATTTAAACCTATTTCTATTAGTGACCTAACTCAAGAGATCAATAAACAAAAACAAGAAATCCAGGATCTCAAGGCCACTCTGATAATTGTGCAAAAAGACGTTTTGGATATTAAAATGAAAAATTTAAAAGGAAAACAAAAAGAAGAAGATTTTGAAGAAAATGTTCCTGAACCTCCTTCTTCTTCTGATACAAACTTTCTTTTAATGCTTTCTGAAATTACCACCAAAAAATGGATTATCAATATTTCTATCAGAATCCAAAATGAAATTGTTTTGGAAACAACAGCCCTTTTTGACACTGGTGCAGACCTTAATTGTATTAAGGAAGGTCTTATACCAACCAAATATTTTGAGAAAACTTCCCAGTCTCTCAAATCTGCATCCGGGGATAGACTTATGATTAATTACAAAATTCCCGAGGCCGAGATCGTGAAAGACCAAATATCTTTCAAAACTCCCTTTCTACTTGTTAAAAATATCAAACAAAATGTTATTTTGGGATCACCTTTTATCAACTTACTCCAGCCTTTTAAAGTTTCTGAGAAAGGAATTGAAACTGAAACCTTGGGCAAGAAAATTTGCTTCGATTTCATTTCAAAACCCCAAACCAGAAATTTGAATACCCTTCAAGAACATTCCATTTCTGAGATAAATTGCATAATTCAAGATAAAGAAACTCATCTTCAGTTTCTTAAAGAAGACCTTGAATATAAGAAGATTGACAAAAATCTCTCTGAAGCAA